AAAGAAGGATGGTTCTCTGCGCCCTTGTATTGACTACAGAGGCCTTAATGACATTACTGTTAAGAACAGGTATCCTCTGCCTTTAATGTCTTCTGCCTTTGAGTTATTGCAGGGAGCCAAGGTCTTTACTAAACTAGACCTCCGTAATGCCTATCACCTGATCCGGATACGTGAGGGGGATGAGTGGAAGACTGCGTTCAACACACCAACGGGGCATTTTGAATACCGAGTTCTACCCTTCGGGCTCACCAATGCCCCTGCAGTCTTCCAGGCCCTGGTGAATGATGTGCTGAGAGACATGGTAAACAGATTTGTCTTTGTGTACCTTGACGATATTCTTATCTTTTCTGAGTCAGAACAGGTACACACTCAGCATGTCCGCCAGGTGCTACAGCGGCTGCTGGAAAACCAGCTGTATGTCAAAGCGGAGAAGTGCGTGTTCCACAGCAAGTCTGTTTCGTTCCTGGGGCATATTGTCTCGACGGAGGGCATTAAGGCTGATCCCGCTAAGGTAAGGGCCGTTGCCAAGTGGCCAGTCCCTGACTCTCGTAAGGCTCTGCAGCGGTTCCTTGGATTTGCCAACTTTTATAGACGGTTCATCCGGAACTTTAGCTCGGTCGCTGCACCCTTAACGGCTCTCACCTCACCTAAGGTACCGTTTATATGGCACAGTCAGGCACAGGAGGCCTTTGATATTCTCAAGTCCCGTTTCATCACTGCTCCTGTCCTTTGTCTTCCAGATCCTAAACGGCAGTTTATCGTTGAGGTGGATGCCTCGGAGGTCGGGATAGGCGCGGTCTTATCTCAGCGATCCTCTAGGGATGGGAAGGTGCATCCGTGTGCCTTCTTCTCTCACCGTCTGAGCCCAGCCGAACGAAACTACGACATTGGTAACAGAGAGCTGCTGGCGGTCAGGCTGGCCCTGGGTGAGTGGCGCCACTGGTTGGAGGGGGCGGCACAACCGTTCTTGGTCTGGACGGACCACAAAAATCTAGAATATATCCGTTCAGCCAAGAGATTGAGTTCCCGTCAGGCCCGATGGGCACTTTTCTTCGGACGCTTTAATTTTTCCCTCTCGTACCGGCCTGGGTCCAAGAATATAAAACCTGATGCACTCTCCCGCCTGTTTGATGTGCCAGGAGGAGAGGCTACCCCCGAAGCCATCCTTCCTAGAGAGGTGGTGGTGGGAACTCTCTCCTGGGACATCGAACGGCGGGTAGAGGAGGCCGTGCGAGGAGGGGGAGCTCCAGAAGGGTGTCCAGAGGGAAGGCTATTTGTGCCAGCCAGTTTAAGATCCGAAGTACTCCAGTGGGGTCATGAGTCCAGAGTAGCCTGTCACCCAGGAGTCCGGAGATCGCTGATCAATATCCAACAGCGATTTTGGTGGCCTTCAATGGCCCAAGACGTCAGACAGTTTGTATTGGCTTGTTTTGTATGTGCCCAGAATAAGACATCTAATCGGCCACCCATTGGTCTGTTACGTCCCCTTCCCATTCCCTCTCGACCCTGGTCACATGTGGCTCTTGATTTTATCACTGGCCTACCCCCATCGAGAGGTAACACTGTAATCTTAACAGTGGTGGACCGTTTCTCTAAAGCGGCCCATTTTATCCCTTTACCCAAACTCCCATCAGCCAAGGAGACTGCTCAGGCGGTAGTTGACCACGTCTTCCGGATTCATGGCCTTCCGATGGATGTGGTCTCTGACAGAGGACCCCAATTTGTCTCCCGGTTTTGGAAAGAGTTCTGTAGACAGATCGGGGCCTCTACGAGTCTGTCCTCAGGTTTTCACCCCCAGACCAATGGGCAAACTGAACGAGCCAATCAGGATCTTGAGAGAAGTCTCCGCTGTCTGGTGTCTCAAAATCCGGGCTCTTGGAGCCAGCAGTTGTCTTGGATTGAATATGCCCACAACTCCCTGCCGGTAGCTTCTACAGGTATGTCCCCTTTCCAATGTTCTGTTGGTTATCAACCCCCTTTGTTCCCCGCTCAGGAACCCGATGCCGCTGTTCCGTCTGCCTTGGCCTTTGTCCGAAGGTGTCGCCACACATGGAGGAGGGCTAAGGAGGCCTTGGCCCAGGCTTCCAGACGAACTAAGAGGGCGGCTGACCGCCACCGGACTCCTGCTCCCCTTTTTGTTTGTGGTCAAAAGGTTTGGCTGTCTACAAGGGACCTGCCTCTCCGTGTGCCTTCTCGCAAGCTGGCACCCAGGTTCATTGGGCCATACCGAATCACTAAAGTCTTGAGTCCAGTGACGGTTCGGCTCAAGCTTCCTTGCACTCTTGGTCGGGTTCACCCTGTTTTTCATGTATCCAGGGTAAAGCCTGTTATCAAATCCCCACTCAACCCTGTTACTTCCCCGGCTCCACCTCCCCCTCGTCTGGTGGACGGCACTCCGGTCTATACTGTGAAGAGACTCCTTGACCGGAGACGTCGTGGTCGGGGTTTCCAATACCTCGTGGACTGGGAGGGCTATGGTGCGGAGGAGAGGTCTTGGATTCCGGCACGGGACATCTTGGACCGGTCGTTGATCGTGGACTTCCATCGGCGGCGAGGTGAGCCCCTTCTGGGGGCGCCAGGTGGCGCCCCTGGGAGGGGGGGGTACTGTTAAGAGTATGGAATCACTTACCTGTTTGCGTTGTCTTTGTGTGTTTGGAGCACGTGGGTTTGTTTTGACAGCTGGCCACGTGCTTCTTGTCCGCGTGCTTTTTGTTTCCCCGCCTTAGAGACCTGGTAATCAATTTGCGATCCTCTCCTTCACCTGTTGCTGCTTGATTTCTCCCCTATTTAGTCTCCTCTCGTCTCTTGTCTTTCGTCAGTCCGTTTTGCATGCTCGTGAGGCTTGTAAGCTAATATCCATTGTGAGTAATCTGTCTTGTCGTGTCCTGTTTCCCCAGACTCCAAGCTCCTGCTTGTTTTGGTTTAGTTTTTTCTCTCCTTACTTTATTTTGATACTTTGTCCTGTCATCCGGCTCGCTGTGGTTTGGTCTGGCTGTCCCATTCTCACTACTGAATCTCCACCAAGGGAGAACGTCCAGCAGTACCCCGTAAGGCTCTTCTTCTCCGGTGCTGGCCGAGCGTCTGGTATCGCTCTATCGCCCCCTGGCGGTATTATCCGGAACTCCCCTTATTACTTTCATCTCTCCTTCTGCTGCCCAGTGAAGCCTTGGGAGCGCTCTCCTGCCATCTGGTGGTAGCGCCCGGAACTGCGCCGATTTCTGAGTCCAGTTTTTTGAGTTTTGAACTGCCTTTTGAGGATATTTTGTGTTTTTTTGAGAAGAATAAATTTGTTTCACCTGCATTTGAATCTGTTCCCTTTCTACCCTGACAGACATGTCATCTAATAGAAAGCATTTGATTGGTCAGAAGATTTAAAGAAATTCTGAAGTACAAAAATGATTCATTTAAGCAGAAGTGGCAAGCTAAAAATTGCATGTTTCTATCTTCTAAATGCAAATTTTGTCACTGTTTTTGGAGCACACTGGCTTACAGATATCCTTAAGACTAACATCTTGATAGTAACATCTTTAAAGCTTTAATTTCGATTTCATGGGAAGTTTAATCTTCGAAATGAGCAACTTAGCATCTACCCAACTCTATTGTGTTAATTTTGTTACCTCGATGGAGACCTGCACAGGTTGTCTGTCTCCACTCTTGGTGTGCGGGACGCCCTCAGTGTCGTAGTTGCCGATGTACACGATCTGCTCTTCATCTCTGGACTGCTCCTCCAGCGGGAAGGTCTTTCCTCCGATCCCCATCGTGCTGGAAAACACACGCAGACAAGCAGTGTATTTACAGTCAATCAAAGCCCGTGGTTCAGTTTTTAAATATTGTGTTGCACATGTAAAAATCAAGTTTATGGCACATATGTACATACAGTTGAAGTCTGAATTATTCACTACGCTTTGAATTCCCAAATAATGTTTAACAAAGCAAGGAAATTTTCACAGTATGTCTGATAATATTTTTTTCTTCTGGAGAAAGTCTTACTTGTTTTATTTCGGCTAGAATAAAAGCAGTTTTTAATTGTTTAAAAACCATTTTATGGTCAAAATTATTAAGCAAAATATTTTTTCGATAGTCTATGGCAGAGGTTCCCAAACATTTCAGCCCACGACCCCCAAAATGGCAATGCCAGTAACTTGCGACCCCCAATATCCTCTGAGGTGGTTAAAAAAACAGAAACCTTGCAGGCAATGGCACACACACACACACACACACACATAAACCCAAGTCTATTCTTTGTTTATTTTTTTAAATGTATGTGATTGCTGTAAATGGGCCAGAAAGTTTAACCTGGTGTTATAAAATCAACAATTGCTGTGACTTTAATGCAATGTAATTACCTTGCAATCCAATAGAACGAGTTACTATAAGCTACAATAGTAACTATAAAGTATATAGTAACTATAAAATACAAATTTTTTCTCTTTAGTAGGTTATGGATCAAATATAGTAATTCTTATGGTTTAATAAAAAAATTAATAGATTTTTGGAAATCACCAGGCGACCCCCCTTCATTGTCTCGTGACCCCCCGGGGGGTCCCAACCTCCACTTTGAGAACCACTGGTCTACAGAACAAACCATCTTTACACAATAGCTTGCCTGATTACCCTAACCTGCCTAGTTAACCTAGTTAAGCCTTTAAATGTCACTTTAAGCTGTATAGAAGTGTCTTGAAAAATATCTAGTCAAATAATATTTACTGTAATCATGGCAAAGATAAAATAAATCAATTAGAAATGAGTTATTAAAACTATTATGTTTAGAAATGTGTTGAAAAAATCTTCTCTCCGTTGAACAGAAATAGGGGGGATAAACAGGGGGTCTGGGGTTGTTTATTAAACATATTTTACATGTATTCGTATATATGATATATTTACATAATTGTATTACATTCTGTCGTAGGTTCAGACTATAAATATCGTACTGCACGTTCAAAGCAAAGCGGCTATACAGTAGGCTAGCATATACTGTACATATTTCTTACGTGTATATACTGTATCTATGTAATATATTTTATCAGGCAGGGTGCACCTTTCGACCTTGTTTCTAATGACAAACATATTATTTACATTGTAAAAGAAATCCAATATCAGACGGACTTACGTGGCCTCGGCGCTGCCCGGTTTCGTGATCACCTCGATTTTGTATTTCGATCCCGTCAGCAATTTGATCGTCCTGGTCTGTCCGAACCTCGTCCCGTCCACCTTATAAAACACGGGTCCGTCATTGGGCTGGATTTTCAACGAAACGGCGATGTTTATTACCGCGGGAACGTCAGCCATGACTGCTGGATAACGGAGGTCGGTGTGTTTCCAGGGCTCCCGGTGTCACTCGACGGATGCAGGACCGATGCTCCCAGGAAGCTGTTTGAGAGATGCCGTGACGTCATCATCACACATTATCACACCCATACCGTAATCCAGAGCATATTTATATCTGACAGATTCTTGGATTATTTTGATAGTTATTTTGGAAATATCACGGATACACAAGTACATTTTTCCTCTTGCTGTATTTGTGTTGTTATTTTATTTTTTTCTCTTTTGTTTCTACCTTTTTTCCACCCTTTTTATTTATATGTGTTTATATTATTTTACCTGATCTGTTATTATGATTGTTGCTATTATTTTTGTTTGTTTGTTTGTTTTATGTAAGATTGGGTTTTGTATGTCTGGCATATTTATATCTATATCTATAACATTTCATACCACTTTGGTTTTTTTAATTGCATAATAATAACTTAAAAAAATTTATGCATTATTAATATTTTAAATCTATTTCTAACTCTCTCACAAAAAAAGGCTTTGAAAACAACTTAAATTTGTAAATTATGTATATTTTTTCTTTATATGATGATGTATATCCCCTATTTATCTGTTTTACTTATTTATTTATCTATTTATTTTTTGGGTTATTTATTTATTTTCATTTCCTTCTTAATACTGTACTGTGATTGTATATTTTCGCATTATTCATAATAAAAAAATTATTTCAAACAGTAGAAGTGTCTTTATTATTATGGATTGCGCATGTCAACAAATGCGGTGTAAAATAGGATATATATAATGTTTAGATTTTTTCTACACGTGCTTTGTGTTCTAGGAATAATAAATATTGTAAATGGCTTATCAGGCATTAGATATACAGATCCTAATCCTATTGTGTTGTTGTCCATGATAACAGTCCCTGTCCAATGTGCTGAAACTGTGGAGTCGAGTAGGCCTAGCATCTGCTTTCATTTCATTTATACAGCGAGCTTGAAATATTGATATAAAAATACATGGTATTAACACAAAGCCACAAATATATTTCATATGGATTTTTAAAAATACAACGAATTTAAACAAACAAACAAACAAACAAAAAAAAAAAAGATTTTAAGGAGTGCATACATTGCTTATGCATTTGTATGCATTCTTTTCACATATCAAAAGTGTTATATTTATATTTAAAGCTGCACTTCTCCTGGTAGTTCACAAAAAATATTAATTTCATATAAAATAAGTGAACCTTACAAAATATTTTATTTTAGATAGTTTTCAAGAATTTTCTAATTTCCAATTAAAATACTTTAAAAGTAAAATAACTAAAACATAAATAAAAATATAAACATCTTTAAACATATATATATATATATATATATATATATATATATATATATTATTTAACTATTTTAAACTATTAATTTATGAAAATGACAAGTTATTCATAAATTGTGTATCATTTAACCAGTATATTTATTATTAAAAGTAATATTTATATATACTATTTAATTATTACTTTGAATAAACTTATATTTGAATTTATTTTATTTATTTTTATATACTCTGAATAATTTTATATTATGTGATCATGCAAATTATAAACATTAATAATTATAAATAATAAATCTTACTTTTTTAAGTTGAGGTTTTCTAATATTTATATTTAATTTCAGCTTTGTGTGAAAGACTATAGTATTTGTAAATAAATCTTCTATTGCTTATAATGAAAAGGGAGCTTCACAGATGAACTTCACAAATGAACTTTTGTTGGAAATGGCATAAAAAATGCTGTTGATTGGCTAAATGTTGTTTTTAAAATCAAACATTCCTCTCATTTCCCAATATACAGACTTCTCATTGTATTTCAATGTCTGAAATAAAAATATTTACATGGCAAATATTTTAATAACAATATGTAAAGTGATTATATAGCGGCAAAGCAGACTGGAGGAGTTAAACGAGAGTACGATGCACTCTAATGCTGGCTTTCACACTATTCCTTTATGTTCATAATTTTTTTTTGTACAAATTTAAGTGGATTGAACATAAAACAATAATGTTGTCCTCCCAAAACTCAAGAATTTAGTAGATTCAGCTCATTTTAAATAAGTAGTTGAAACAAAAAATTTTTAAGTATGCATCAGATATGATTTTAAATAATATATTAGCTTTCATAAAATAACAGCTGCAAGGTTAAAGGCAAATCACTTTTGGCAGTTACTCTGAAAAAATAAAAATAAAATAAAATAAAATAAAATAAAATAAAACAAAATAAAATAAAATAAGAGCACAATTTAGTTGATCCATAAAAAAGAGCTTCTATCAATAAAATGATTGCATCAAATGAAACCTAAAAAACCTCACAAAGTCTCAAGCTAGCTAATACAACTCAAATTTGCCACATGATCCTCATCATCATCATCATCATCATGTTTTGATTGCCAGTCTTTGTGCTTGTTTTTTTTTTTTTTCGCAACACTGATTGTGGAACATCCCTTAAAACCATTTTCCCAGGATGCATCAAGTGCTCCAGTGGTGATATATTAGAGTCTGTAGATTTCTGATTTCTCTATCTCTCCAGCTCTGCCTCCAGTATCTCCCCCCAGGTCTCCACATCTAGAGGACACATGCTGTTGGCTGGAAGCTCGTCAGCGGAGCGGATGTTGCTGTATCGGCCCTTCAGCCACCTCCTCTTCACACAGCCTTTCCTGTAGTTACGCACGAGAGTGACCTGAAAGGGGAATTGCAGACATTAGTAAACGGCCAGATGATTCGTTCTGTAATCCATTAGATTTGCATTTAAACAACTGGCAGAAGTGAGTTTGAAATTTGATCAATAGATGAAACCAAAGCAAAAAATAAATGATATAGGTATGAACTATCATAATTCACAGTGTAATATATATATATATATATATATATATATATATATATATATATATATATATTCATTCATTCATTTTCTTTTCTGCTTAGTCTCTTTAATAATCCGGGGTCGTCACAGTGGAATGAACCACCAACTTACCCAGCATATGTTTTACACAGCCGATGCCCTTCCAGCTGCAATCCAGAATTTGGAAACATCCATACACACTCATTTACACACATACACTTTGGACAATTTAGCCTACACTATTCACCTACAGCACATGTCTTTGGACTGTGGGGACTCTGGAGCACCCAGAGGACCCATGGGAAGATCATGCAAACTCCACATGGAAATGCCAACTGACCCAGCCAAGGCTCAAATCAGCAACCTTCTTGCTGTGAGGCGAACATGCTACCCAATGCGCCACCGTGCAGCCCACCACTAATATATATATTTATGTTAATATATTATACACATATACAGTTGAAGTCAGAATTATTAGCCCCCCTGTTTTTTCCCCCAATTTTTGTTTAACGGAGAGAAGATTTTTCCAACACATTTCTAATCATAATAGTTTTAATAACTCATCTCTAATCACTGATTTATTTTATCTTTGTCATGATGACATTAACCGTAAATATTATTTGACTAGATATTTTTCAAGACACTTCTATACAGCTTAAAGTGACATTTAAAGGCTTAACTAGGTTTATTAGCTTAACTAGGCATTTTAGGGTAATTAGGCAAGTTATTGTATAATGATGGTTTGTTCTGTAGACTATAGAAAAACAAAATAGCTTAAAGGGGCTAATTAATTTGTCCTTATTTGTCCTTCTCCAAAAAATTAAAAACTGCTTTTATTCTAGTCAAAAAAAAAAAAAAAAAAAAATTAAAATCAAAGGGGGGCTTATAATTCTGACTTCAACTGTATATATATTTGTGTGTGTGTAAACCTGTATGCGTGTGTGTCTGCAGTTAGACCCCTTTGTATGCCTTTTTGTCTTTGAAGTAGACAAAATATTTTATTTATTAAAAAAAATACTATCATTATATATTACTATTACTATTTAGTATAAATTACAAAAACCTTATATTTAAAAAAATACATAAAATGTTATTTTAGTAATATTTATCTAATATTATACTGTTTAAATTTTTTTTCATTTATAATTTTTTAAAATGTTATATCTGTGATATACATTAGCATCATTTGCTACATTTACATTTTTTTTCTAAAACTTAAAATCTGTTTTATTTTAGCTTTATTTTAATAAATAATGTAATAGTAATAGTTAATAAAGTATCTATAAATATTAGAATAATGTTAATATAATAATAAAATGATAATATTATATTATTTATTTATTTATTTTCTTGTCGGCTTAGTCCCTTTATTAATCCGGGGCCGCCTCAGCGGAATGAACCGCCAACTTATCCAGCAAGTTTTTACGCAGCCGCAACTCATCTCTGGGAAACATCCACACACACTCATACACTACGGACAATATAGCCTACCCAATTCACCTCTACCGCATGTCTTTGGATTGTGGGGGAAACCGGAGCACCTGGAGGAAACCCACGCGAACACAGGGAGAACAAGCAAACTCCACACAGAAACGCCAACTGAGCCGGGGCTTGAACCAGCGACCCAGCGACCGTCTTGCTGTGAGGCGACAGCACTACCTACTGCGCCACTGCTTCGCCTATATTATATCCTATATTATATTATATTATATTATATTATATTATATATATTAGATCATATTATATTATATTATATTATATTATATTATATTATATTATATTATATTATATTATATTATATTATATTATATTATATATTTGATCATATTATATTATATTATATTATATTATTAATAATTGTTCTGATCAACACTGATCAACTCAATAAATTTATGATTTTTAATTTAAGGAGGGTTAAAACATTTTTTTTTCATTTTGAATGAGATACTGTAATATATAGGAAGTGACATCATCTGAAAAAAACAGGCAAATTCTTTTCTCATCCAATCAAAATAATTAGTTGTAAACCTACATTGTAAGTTCACAGTTGAATTCCCTTTCTGTATTTCATGAGAGAAAAAAAAGAGCAGAATTAGGAGGAACATAGCAAGAGGAACTTTGTTTCCAGGCAGAAAATCATTTAAACGGACAGTTCACCCAAAACTGAAAATCCTGCCATCATTTATGTACTTGTTTCAAACCTGTTTAATTTATTACTTCTGATGCTGAACACAAAGGAAGATATACTGAAGAATGTTGGAAACAACAACATAAGGAATAAGTTGCTATGATTTCAGACACGCCCATGCAGAATGTAAATGTAGATGTTGTTGGTTTGCATTGACTCACAGCTCTGACTTTCATTTTCAAACCGTCTGCTAGTTATTTTATTTCCAAGATCTGAGGTGAACGATCTGCTGCTGCTTTCAGTAGTATTACAATAAATGTCATGTAATTGAAATACATTTAAAGTAACATTGGTTGAATTTAACAATGAATAAAGCACATAATCAGTACCTGAGGTGATCTTTGTCATAGTAGTTTATGCTGTTCTGCTGCGATGTTGTGGAAATAGAGACTGTTTCTAAAATAGAAGCTCTGCATGTTGCAGCCGCAAATGGTTAGGACAAAAACTCCTTTAACGTGGAAAAGACACCTTTTATTGCGTGTTGCATCACTGTGGTTAGAACATGGTGAAAGCATTTTGTAGTGTAAGCACATACAGTTTGTTGCCGATGAGTGTATATATGATATAATAATGTAGATCAATGGGATCCAGATTCACAAATTCCCAGAATGCATTGCGCTTCAACGGACACATTCCGACAACGTTCTTCAAGTTCAAGTTTGGGGATGCCATAAAAGTTCAGAAACACTTGAGTGAGAGTAAATGGTGAAGATTTTTATTTGTTTTTTTTGGCATTTCTTTTGGGTGAACTATCACTTTAATTGTAAATGTAATAACAACACAAACCTTCCACGAACACCCATCCAGCCGGTCCCCGTTCACCTCCCTCCGGCAAACCGCCAGCCCTGTGAGGCAGTGGCTCCTCCACAGGTGATCGCTCCCCTCGATGATGTCATTCCAGTGTTTACAGGTGACCGAAGCTCGACACAAACTCCTGACGTCCAGCTCACCGAAGATCCTCACGCTCATCTCTGCAGGAAGAGCCTCAGAGAAATCCCGCTGCAGCAGATTGAGGTAAAGTTAGTTTTGTATTCAGTGTTTCTCCCTAATAATATAACTAAACTTTTTTTTTTGTTTCAAATTCTAAATCATAGGTCTGAAACTGAATTCCTAGACGGCCACAGCTCTGCAAAGTTTTGCTCCAAAACTAATCAAATAAAACTGATCCAACTATTCAAGGTGTTCAAGACTATTAACCAGTTAAACTCTGCTGCTATTTGGGGATTTCCGCCTGGATTTTGCCTACCCAAATTTAAAAGCTTTCCAAATCCACATGCAGAGGTGTAAATGCAAAAATTTGGTATAATTTTAAAGAAAACCCTTTGAATTTTCATAAAACACGATTGAAAGTGTTTAAAATAACTGTATATGTTGTCTGTGTTATAATAAACACCTAAAAAAAAAGAGGCGCTTTTTATATTTTTTTATGAACTCAAATTTGAAAGTGTATACCTTTTAGGTTGTGTGTGGTCTAGCGTGCTGTAATTAATTTTGGTGGTTCCTGCACATGTCTGTAATCATAGGAAAATCGAAAAATGTCTCTACCATAATCTATGCAAAAGTTATTTTATTCCAACTCATGAGAGGTGCTGTACAAGCCACAGGGAGCGATCATTGTTTTCATATTTCACTCTTCTTTTGTTTGATCAAACATAATTCACTGTGTTTGGACCACATCAGACATATAAAAGGATTACTTATGCACATCACCTCAAAAACAGAGGAGAATGGCCCTGAAGGGTACAGCATAAGGTAAGAGATGACAGCTGTCTGTGCTATCTGGGGCTGCTTACTGATCATAAATGTATTGTTTTCACTTCTGCGCCATGGAAACACGGCGATTCATTCGGCAACTGTTTGGCATATGAATATAATTTAGTAAAAAGATTTCTAGAACCGTAAGAGCACTGGCATGAGCTTTCATTTGAGCTATAACTTGTACATGTGTCATATATGAACCACATGAAAATGAACCAATGTAAAATACCCAGCTCGGGTTTCCAAAATACTGTGTATTTAAGTGTAAATAACTTTTGTACAGTAGAATAAAAACCAAAGTGATGCATATGTGCATAAAATAAAAAGCGAAAGTCGATGGCCGGTACTGGGTCCGCAGAGTTTAACTGACTATTAAGCAGGTTTTAGTAAGAGGTAGTTGGAGCTTAGCTTTACAGAGCTGTGACCCTCCAGGAATTGAGTTTGAGAATATATTGTTCTAAATAGTGAAACCATATTATACACCAAAGACTATCAAAATACAACTTTGTCCAACTTCATAGTCAATTAAATAGTGCTATTGTTGTTTATTACATGCAATTTTAGACAGAATATTCAAAGTTGCATGGTAAACAGTATAGACACCCTTTCTCTCTCTCTTTATTCATTCCTTCATTGACTTTCTTTTCGGTTTAGTCCCTTTATTAATCAGGGGTTGCTACAGAGGAATGAACCACCAACTTATTCAGCATATGTTTTACGCAGCGGATTCCCTTCCAGCTGCAACCCATCACTGGGAAACTCTCCCTTTTTTTAACCTTCAAATACTAGGCATTTTCAACTTCCATTGTTACAACACACATAAATAAAAAATTAAATGATACTAATTGAAATGAAACACATTCGGGGGGTCAATCCATATAAATTGACAGACGTTTAGAGAGCTTTGAGGCACTTTTCGGTTTGTTTGTTTTACATGTTTTATGGGTTTACTATAGACACCATAGACTGTAAAAAGATAGGGATCCTGTCACATGTTGTCATTGTTCAAAAATAAACAACTGTGGGAATATTTTTTATTGTTTTATTTTTTTTTTATTAACCATAAGTTAAAGTACAAACCATGACGGCATATTCAACAGTCCAATACATATAGTATTAGAGTTGATTTAAAAGTACATGATTGGGAACAAAACACACACACACACACACACACACACACACACACACACACACACACACACACACACACACATACACACACACACACACACAAATAAAAAATAAAACTCATTTAAAAAAAGGAGGTTGGGGGGGGGGGGGGGGGGGGTGAGAGTCTTAATCAAGTAATATAAACGAGTCCAAGGTGTGTGAAAGTTTACGGGCATTTCTGTTCGTCATGAAGTGAGAAGTCCTTACAAACATCTTCAGATCATTCCTCCATCCATTAAAGTGGGGTTTCACCTTTACAAATTTGCATCTATGAATGAAGTGTTTAGCTAGAATAATTAGATTATTTACCAAAAAGTCTAGGTCCTTGCCCTTTAAAAATATACCAACTTTGAAAGTGTATATTTGTCTTTGTTTGTAATGCAGCCAGTACTGAAACTCCCTCCATAAATGTTTTTAGAATTTCACATTGAAAAAAAAAAATGTTCTACAGTTTCAATATCTTTCTCACAAAAGCTGCATGAATTGTTTTCCCAGTTAAACTTTTGATGTAAAAAAAAAATATTAGATGGATATAAAGTGGGAATGTAAACTTTACCTCAATCTGGAGCGGATCCTGAAGCCCGGAGCAACACCACCGGGTCAGCTTCTGGCCTGCAGACGGCGCTGCTGCTCCTTCTACAGACATTCTGCATTGCTCGGCCACCCCAAACCTTTATTAAACACCTGTTATTCTTATGACAGAAGAGTTCAATCACAAATCTAATGCTATTTAAGGTGTTAAAGTTTAAACAGCGAGTGTAATTAACATTCTAGGCCTAGTTTTATAAGCAGATGCACCGCCGACAATGTAAATCTAGCTAAACAAAGACTAGAACAGATTTTAAAAAACAAACCCAAGATGTTCGCGTTTATATGTCTATTTGAGGTACGATAGGTAATGATATTTGTGAAAATATTGTGGTAATTTGTGAAAATTCATACCGAAAGCAGCGCTGACAGCTGAGGGTTTAAACGTCTGGTTTGTTTACCCCAGAAACGTCACTAGACAAGCCTCGCCCCGTACTCACCACGCATGCGCGTCACTTTATGAGTTATTTTAAGTCAGAAGTATGGTTTGGAAAATGTATTACTTAAACGTTCAATATTCGTATTATTATATGCATTTTTGCTAATTTATGCGCAAACGTTTAGAAAATGTCTATCGTGTGTATTGAAACAGCGCATGCTCATAGTTTGAGCTGACCGGAAGTCCTTATTCTCGTACGAAAAATAATTATTATTCAAATTGTACTACATTCTGGCGTGATCACAGTGTTTCTTTCGCGTTTTCTGTACTAATGAAGCAGCGATCAGTTTGCTTGCTGTTTGTAACACACTAACGCATTCATCTTAGCCGTCTAAATCAGCAGTAAGTAACATCTTGAAGTTAGTTACTAAATGACAGAGTTTGTATAGATCATGTAAAGTATGGAGAGAGCAGCGCATGCGGGATCAAGATAAGCTTTAGAACAGTTGCATGCACTTTATGTCCTTATTTAACCAGCATTCACTTTGATTTTTAATTAAAATAGGTGTTTTGTTCTGCACAGATCATGCCAGGCTTTGAGCTGGAGCAGGTGGACGGTGGCAGTCCTGTGGATCTGCCCTATGGAGAGACTGTCCTGGGCAGAGGGCCATTTCTAGGGGTGCAGTACATTTTCACCTATATGGCTTAATCATATATGTATTAAATTATTTTATGTGTTCTTAACAGTGTGCCAGTTATTAGGTTTAAGTTGATAACATGGGTGCCAACTTGGAAGTACAAGGTTCTGTTTGCTTTCTAAGCAGATATAAGATCTAGAGCTGTGAAGTTTTTACATTCTGTATAGTAAATATTATATGGGGAAACAAGTCTCTTTGATGCATAAAAATAACAGAGACATGTATGTTTATGTAAATTTATTCTAAATGTGCATTATTAAAATCCTCTCAAGTTTGTAAGTGGGTATTTTAGGAGTAAAACAAAGAACAAATGCAGATTGTCTTCATAATTATATATATATATATATATATAAAGCTTTTTTATTCTTAATTTTCTTCTAATTAAGCATACAAGGCAATTATAAATATATTTATTTATTAATACTATTTAAGCAGGCATTATTTAAGCAGGAATATGGTGGTTAATTAATCACATTATTGCTCAAACTATTTAAATTTCATTTGATTTAAAGCAGCTATACTGTAAGTGATCGATAACATGCTAATGTTTATTGTTGTAATCAGGACCCAACAATTAAATTGTTGGCTATTTCACCGTAAAATGTAAGACTTTTTAAAGACATTAAACCTGCAAAAGTAAAATATTTTGGCCCGCTGAATGTTTTCTACTTGTTACTTTAGGGCAGAGTTGCTCAAAGTTGGCCCATGGTAAACTTTGATTTGGCCATCCCATCTGAGAAGAGATTTAGAACGAAGGTTGCATCAAATGTCTTCAACACAGATGGACATTTCTAATTTAACGTAACCTTTTGTTTGTTTGTTTAATTGTTGAGCTACAAAAAAGTCAACAGGAATTAAATGTTTCAATTAAATGTGCATGAATCAGATTTTTGAAAATGTAAATACTGTCACTCGAAGATAGAGGACAACACCTAAGTCATCGGCGAACAAATCAAGCCAAAGGCAGGTTCAGCTTGACTTGTGTATTCAGCATTAAACAGCATTGTGTTATAAATGTATTTATGTTCTTAGTGTAAGAAGTTCATTTTAAAAACTGTTTAAAAATATATAATTATTAATATGATTGAAGTATTTTTCTATTTATTTTTCAATATTAATAAATTAGTAAATCACCATGACAGCTTTATTGTAATAGTTTGGTAAGCGCTGCTTTAGGGTCTTCAACCAAATCTGTTACTTTCAGTTTAATGCAGGCCATTTATCTTCCTGCGATGAGCAACCAAGTCCTGAAGATGGCACTCAAACTCTTACATCTGAGGGTTAGAAATAAGACACTCATATCTCATGAACTGATGTAAATAAATAGTTTTTATCGCATTAACAAATGTCTGTAGTGATCGTTAAAGCAACATAAAAGAAGATATTTTAAAGAATGTTGAAAACTGATAGCCATTGACTTCTGTAGGAATTACAATACAGTGGAAGTCAGTGGCTAAGTTTTCAACAGTCTTCTCTTTATATGTTATTCTTGTGTTCAACAGAAGAAACGCAAACAGGCTTGAAATAACTGGAGGCTGAGAATATGATGACAAAATATTCTATATAGTTTCAGTTTTTTTTATTTGAATGTAATAATCTTCTTTTGGTATTGTTTTTGATCATGATTTCATGTAAATTCCTAATTTTTTTTTTTGTTGGATCCCAGGAAGAACAGCCACAATGTAAATAGTGGATGTTAAATACCCTATAAAATAAAAAAGTTTTTTTTAGTTAATGTTTGTTCATTTTGAGACCACCCATCAATCATTTATTGTGTTTAAAATAAGCCTAATAGACATCTAAAAATACTAAACTACTCATAAAATAAACAGGAATACATGACTACACGTGTGAAGTCTAAACCTTGGCATTTGATGACTATAGTCTACTTTTGGGCTATTCTTAGACATCTGTTAGATTTAAGGCCAAATATAGTCTTGCTTTAGCCAACCTGTCAATGTTTAGATGTCTATTAGACATCTATTAAACGTAAAACTGCTTGATGGGCATCTGTAAGCTAATGTGCACCTAAAAGTTGATCACTTTTAACATATAAACACTTACATTTACAGCCATTCTCTTTCAAAATGACACATCCTGCCCGTCTCAGACAAACTTCCTGTTTTAAGAGGAAATCTGTCGCAACAAGACTGAACGCTGTGTTCTTAAAGCCATTTCATGTGACAGATGAGGGCTTTAAATCAGCCATATAACAGTGAAGTGGCCTCATGCAGTCATTTAATGTTCTGCAACATGTTTGATGAACAACACTGAGCTTTAACAGTCATGATAGTGATGGCCGTCATTGGACCGTTATAATTAGAAGTGCCATTGGATCCTCTTTATGAAGTAATGCAGTGCATAGACAACTATTCCAAAGTTTGGGGGTAGTATGATTTGTAATGACGTCGTTATAATGCTTTACATTGGCAATTTATAATCAGGTCATACAAGCAACACAAGAAAACCTTAAGCCCTGGTCAGATCACACGATTTTGTCATGATTTCGAAACCTCATCCCTACTGTGAAGTATGGGGGTCGGCAGTATCATGTTGTGGGGCTGTTTTGCTGCAGGAGGGACTGGTCCACTTCACTGCACAGATGGCATCATGAAGAAAGAACATTATGTAGAAATATTTGGCCACAAATTGGTCTTCCAAACAGACCATGACCCTATCATACTGCCAAATTAGTTCAAATGTGCTTTAAGGACAACAGAGTGTATGTTTTGAAGTGGCAATCACAAAGCCCTGATCTAAATCCTATAGAAAATTTGTGGGCAGAGTTGAAAAAGCTTTTGTGAGCAAGACAGCCAACAAATCTGACTCAGTTACACCAATTCTGTCTGGAGTCTAAATCTAAATGATTTGTTGTGCCTTCTATTATTTTCTATTTACATTTTATAAAAAATATATAATTTTATTTATGCGACACTGTGGCGCAGTAGGTAGTGCTGTTGCCTCATAGCAAGAAGGTCGCTGGTTCGAGCCTCTGCGTTTTTGTGTGGAGTTTACATGTTTTTCCTGTGGTCGCGTAGGTTTCCTCCAGGTGCTCCTAAACTGAACTAATTGAATATTTACTATAAAATGTCTACTTCAAAAATATACAGACAAATGTAAAATGCAGTAAAACACTCTAAAGTGGTTGAGTTTGCAGCTGGATATTATCGGGAGATCGCTGACAGGGACAGTAAACAGATCCGCCAGAACGTGTCTGAAGCTCATAGGCCAGTTTATTTAGTGCAGAAACACAATTGAGCCTCGCTAGATCCTCCTGTATGCCGCGCGCCCGTTATAAATCACTCACAGGACATTAATTTGGACAACTATGCAGATATATTAAATAGTTCACACAAAAATACACAGAGAGACCTTCACTTCACACATAGTTTGTGAATGAACAGACTTACGTGTTGCTTAGTTGCAGACGCGATCATGAGGCGGTTTTTTGCGCCGAGTTTGAAGCAATCCATCACCGAACAGGAGAAAGTACATTACTTCTTGCGGCCCAACTGCAGGATCGCTGCCTGAGGCCAACTGGTGGCAGCTCATCGGTTGATAATTCCTGCTTTTGGATGAAATTAACCATTTGCAGTTGCGCCATCCAGTGCAGCTTCTTTTAGTGAAAAATTGCAGCTCATTTTTATATTTTGCAGAATCGTTCCACATTAAACCTATTTGCGGCCCTGATCCAGCCCGCAGGCCGTACGTTTGACACCCTTGGTCTAGAAATTAATAAAAAAATATATCAAAACTAATTCTCTCATTATTATCATTTAGCAAATGTAAATCATTGAGGTAATCCTAACGGACCTAAAATAGTAAACGTTTAGTATGATTTACCATCAGACAAAAAAATGGTTATGTTCCCTTTTTTGGAGTGTATGTAAACTTCTGTTTTCAACCGAATTTAACAAATATAATATCACACTAAAGAAGATATTTTGAAGAACGCTGAACACTGGTAGCCATTGGCTTCTGTAGGGATTGAATGCCATTGAGGTCAGTGGCTAACAGTTTCCAACATTCTTTAAAAAATCTTTTATGGCGCCAGTCGCCTTGTGGTTATGTGCCAAAATGTAGTACTGTGATGGTCATAGCGACCCGAGTTTGAGTTCTGGCTAGAGGTCCTTTGCCCAACCCTTCTCTCTGCTCTCAATACTTTTCTGTCTGTAACCTCCACTGTCCTATCCCAATTAAAGGTTAAATAATAATAATAATAATAATAATAAAATAATTTATAAATATATAAATTATATATTATAATTATAAAAAATTATATATATTATAATTTTTTAAGTTTATAAAAATGGCCTTTTTACTGGTAAAATAAAGGCTGTAATAATAAAGAAATCCTTTCTAACATTATGATACACATATTTTCTTGCCACTTTTGATTGATTTAATGTATCCTTGTTCAATATGAAAGTGCCATTAACATGATGCATTTCCTAGTAAACAGCAGTTCATCAATCCATACATCTCAACATTTCTGTTGTTCTCTGTCTTCTCTCTTCGTCAGGTGAACGATAAGAGGGTTTCCAGGAACCATGGCATCCTTGAGAACCAGAATGGCGTGCTGCGCCTGAAGCCTGTAGGTTTTATTTTAGTCCTCTAATGTGGGCTCGGGAGTCGTGATGATGGTTTTGTCATTTCAGACTCTGGTGGTGAATAAAAGCAGCGCTCGCCTTTGATGAGAAGACATCAGAAGTTTTTAAAAGTGCTCTCGCTCTCTCTTTAAAGCCGCTGTCGCTCTTAATTACACGTGTCGTTATGGCCTCTTAGTCATGCTGTCATAGCAACAATGAGGAGGGTTTTAGCCTCTATTGATCTTTTGACTTGGAGTATTTAATAGGGGCTTGTATCGGTCTCATGAATATTCATATTGTTGATGGGTAATTGGATTAACATGTTGCCCTTGTGATGAAGTACACTTCAACACACTTTTTTGAAGGGGTACTAAAAAATAAGTTTTTGCAAACGGGATGTTCTTATATGCTTAATTATATGCAAGTAATAGCTTAATTTTTAAATACATTTATAGTTATGTTAATAGTTAAACATTCATTTTCTTAGTCTCTTTATCTGGGGTTGCTACAGTTGAATGAATCGCCAACTTATCCAGCATATGTTTCACACAGCCGATGCCCTTCCAGCTGCAACCCAGTATTGGGAAATATTCACACACATGAACTACGGCCAATTTAGTTTATTCAATTCCCTTATTGCGCATGTCTTTTGACATGTGGGGGAAATCGGAGCACCCGGAGGAAACCAACACAAACCCGGGGAGAACATGCAAACTCCACACAGAAAAGCCAACTCGCCCAGCAGGAATCGAACCAGCAACCTTCTTGCTGTGAGGTGACAGTCCTAACCACTGAGCCACCATGCCATCTCATTTATATTTATATTAATTATCATTATTTTTAATATTATTATTTGACATACACTGCAGCTTCTGTAACTCGATGTCTTATTAGCTAAAAGTTTTGCACATGTTTTTCATCGCATTATATTTTTGTTAGCTGAAGAAAAGCTGACATGTAAAATATGAACTATATTTAAAAAGATAAAGACATTTTAAATTAACTTAAAAATGTAAAAAACAGAATTAATAAAACACATTAAAATGCAGAGTGAAACAAATAAAACAAATATTCAAATACTGCTAATTTTAATAGGTAAAGTATAAATATAAAAGAACAAAAAAAAAGGTTCTGAAGAGATTTTTTCAACATTTAACCATTGAATTCAATCAGAAAACAAATTTAACCTTTTTCTTTGCAAAGTTCTGATTAGGGCTGCACAGTGGTATTTTATTTTTCTGCGATAAATATTGCGATATGAAAACAGTTTTACAAGATAGCTGGAATAGCTCTATTTAGTGGTTTTCTGGGGAGTTTTCAGGTACAGAAATGGAATAATCGCAATGCTAAAAATGCTTTTTTATTCGCTTTGTCTCGTTTTTAGACCAAATATCTACAAATTTGTAGATCTAGTAAAAATATTTTGTCAGAAGACCAAAGAAGAAATAAGGCAAAGTTAAGGGTTTTTCCTGTAAACAAGAAAAGTTATTTGCCAGTGGAGTAAAATGATGTTGTTTTTGCTTTGAAATGTAGATATTTGGACTAGAAACAAGACAAAAATTCCGGTAACACTTTACAATAAGGTTCATCAGTTAATGCATTTACTAACATGAACTAATCATGAACAACACATGTACAGCATTTATTAATCATAATTGAACATTTGCTAATCCATTATTAACATTCAAGTCCATGCTTGTTAACATTAGTTAATGCACCATGAGTTAACATGAACTAACAATGAACAACTGTATTTTCATTAACTAACGTTAACTAACATGAACAAATACAGTAGTAAATGTATTGTTCATAATTTGTTCATGTCAGTAAATGCATTAATTAACATTAACTAATGAACCTTATTGTAAAGTGTGACCAAAACTCCAAATGAGAAACCTTTTTTGTTTTGCGTAAATGGTATGAATTCCATATAAATACAGTAATTAAATACAATTCTGTAGCTTCTGCTGAACTATAATTCAGACAGCATTGCACATCTTGCCATGTGACTACTGCAGATGCGCACATTGCAATATTGATGCTGAAACGGTATATTGTGCAGCCCTAGTTCTGATAATGCCTGCATGTGAAAAAAAAAAACACAGTTGACGTCAAAATGATTAGCCCTCCTGTGTTTTTTCTCTCTTTCTTTATCGAATATTTACCAAATGATGTTTAACAGAGCAAGAAGTTTTTCTACATTATTTCCCATAATATTTTTTCTTCTGGAGAAAGTCTTGTTTGCCCCCTTAAGCAAGATTTGTTTTCTATTGTCTACAGAACAACACATCATTATATATTGACTTGCCTGTTTAACCTAGTTAAGCCTTTAAATGTCTCTTTGAGCTGAATACTAGTATCTTAAAAATATCTAGTCAAATATTATGTACTGTCATCATGGCAAAGATAAAATAAATCAGTCATTAGAGATGAGTTATTAAAACTATTATGTTTAGAAATGTGCTGAAAAAAAATCTTCTCTTCGTTAAACAGAAATTGGGGAAAAAATGAAAGAATTGCCAAAAATGAATAACCAGCATTTCTCTTGATTTCCGTCCTCTAGACGCATCTGAACCCTTGTTTTATTCAGACGAACATCGTAGCGCCGCCTCAGCCGCTGGAGAAGGACCAGTGGCACTGCCTGAAGGATGGAGACATCTTCTCTCTCATGCCTGGAAAATACATTTACAGAGTCCACATTAAAGAAGACGATCAGACTCCCAGGTGATTCAGCCTGTCACTCAAAGCAGTCAAACACATCTTGTTCTCTAAGCCTTGTTTACTACACTGCCAAAAAAGACAAAGGTCAGAAACTGGTGTTTAATGCATACGTTTAAAGTCAACACTACATCTAGCTATAATTATCTTCTTTCCTAACGTGCCCCTTTTATGTATTTTTTTTATATATACTAAGTTTCTGACGTTTTTGTGGGCAGAGCTTAGGTAGATGCTTTACAAATAGCTGCAGTTATCAAGTATTAATAGTTGTTTAAAAGGAGGCATAAAATGTTTCTTTTGTTCAATCTCAGACCTGCTTTGTTTACTAAACAAAGTGAATCTAATTGGATTTGCATTGTAAACATTAAGTACAAGTTAAAAAGGTATTACTTTTTAATACATATATTAAGGTTTTAGTTATGATACTCACAAAATAATTCTGCAGATTCTTAACAAAATTCTGCGCAGAAATAGTATAAAATGTCCGCAGATTCCATCTGGGCCTAGTGATGAGAGTGTATGGGTGTTTCCCGGTATTGTGATGTGGCTGGAAGGACGTCCGCTGCGTAAAACATAAGCTGGAATAGTTAGCGGTTCATTCTGCTGTGACAACCTCTGAAATAGAGACCGTGGCCGTGAAGGAAAATGAGCGAATGAATCTGAGAGAAGAGCCGTATTCTGCAGTGAAAATAGGTTTTAAATAGAAAGCTTTTAATGTTGTATGGCGTAAGCCTATTATAATACAAACTTTTTTTTTTCTTCTCATATTTAATATTTATGGTTGTTACGTGGGTCTGTGTTATTTAATCTATTTATTTATTGCTGGATTGTGCTTGCGATCGAGTTACTAGGAGGAGTGTTTCACCTGGCTTATCCAGGATTGGATGATGCCCGTGACGTCACTGGGGATTGCCACTATATAACGCTGACAGCAATGGCGTCTCTGTCTCTCTCTCTCTCTATCTTACAGTCTCTCACCCTCCCTTAGCTCGGTAGTGGCTTGCGCTCAGGCGGTCTGGCTGACGGTGCTCCGAATCATCTAGATGGCGCTCCATTTGGTGTTTTGTTCCTGTTAATCTTTTGATTCTTAATTCGTAATGCGTTAACTAGTTTGTTTATTTTAATACTTTGTTTTGTAGCAGGTAGTGGTTTATTTATATAGTCACGTTTTGTTATTTATTTAGTTTAGCGAAGGTAAGCAGTGACCCGGAAGACTCGCCTATTTTTATTCCTTTCACGGGAGTTTAGGTAAGATCTGTCCATTTTAAAACAGTATAGTCAGAGACCTGTTCACTAAGGGTGTCACGATCCTCCAAATCCTCGATTCGATTACATTTTCGATTCTAAAGGGACGATTCGATTCGATTTTCGATTATTTATGAATAATTAATTAATTAATGACCAATTAGTTATTTGCAGCCTACAGTTTAAACTACCTGACCTGCATGGTCTTTGTTTTACCCATAAACAAATCATACAGTAAATGAATAAAGGCAAGTTAAACACATAATTACCACCTGTCAATCACTTTTTTCTGCGGGACTCGTGAATAGGCAGTGATCTGTGTCGTTATAATGCCGTCGGTAAAAAAAGACATACAACCGACAGGAACCAGCCAACAGTATCTGAGGTGTTCGCTAAAATGACAAAGTACAAGTGAGTGAAAGATTGAAGCAGTCCTCTGACTGCCTGGACCTGCTGTCTCGAGCGCATGGCTGTGTGTGTGTGGTCACGTGATGTGCATTTTCAGAGGTAGAGAGGAAGGAGGGCTGCTCAGAAATGCTACACGCCACTGTGGATGTCAAATCGTTGTCGTTCTAAAATGCCATTTAAAAACAAAGACAGTGTAAACAGGGCCTGAGTGTGTACTTTTCGCGAGCGGATTTGCAACGGGGGCGGGCGGAGGATCGCGATGCCGGTGTTGTCTATCGGACGAACCGTACGTAATACGTACATAGCAGAGCTTGCGAAACTGTGTTTTTTTTTTGTCGACAACACGAACGTTGTCAACATAACTCACTGGAAATCCAAAATGCTTAAACATCGGCGACTTCCTTGAAAGAGGAGAGGGTTTAAGATCTCTCGACGGGTCTCCTGCTTCTGCAGTTTAACAAGCACTTCAACAAGCCTGTTTTTTTCCCGCTTGGCAAGCCAAGCTGACGTGACATGGGGCCGTGGCAGCATCGACGATTCTATTTTTTGATTCGATAATCGAAATTGAGCATAAATTTCGATCGATTTCGATTAAAAATCAAAATCGTGACACCCCTACTGTTTACCTTAGCTGCCCTACCTGTCTACTTGATTTTTGTTAATGTTTTGTCTCTTTTGAAAACTTATCATTTATGGAAAATTAAACGTATTGACGGAATGTCAGTTTAACAATTCAAACGTCTGTGTCCTCCATATGTTCGGCTCAAACCTTGAATGCTGTTGTTATTCGAGCCAGTTTTGAGTTTGGGCCGTAACAATGGTTTAAAACTATTATAATTCAAACTGATTCCTGATGGACGTCCATAATTACAGAAGTGAAACTGGTTGTTGATGTTTCACTTTGACTTCAGATTCAATTAAGCATGAGAATATTCTGGCCTGGATGAATATTCAGATGCGCTCATGCATGTGGTGTCATCTTTAAATAGCACCCTTTATTAGAACCGGCCATTTATCTCATCTTTCCATTTTTCCCCGTAGTCATGATAATGAGTGTCTGTTCATTTTGACATTCCTCTTAGAAACTGATCTGTGACCTGCAGAGTTGAGTTTAAAGGACACTTTCATTTACTTTTTTATTATAATGAGTTTACATTCATTCATTTTCCTTCGGCATAGTCTCTATTTCAGAGCTCATCACAGCGACATGAGCCGCCAACATCTCCAGCATATGTTTTATGCAGCTTATGCCTTTGTAGCCACAACCCAGTATTGGGAAACACTCATTCACATACACACACTTGTACACTATGGCCAATTTAGTTTATCTAATTCACCTATAGCGCATGTGTTTGGACTGTGGGGGAAACCGGAGCAGCCGTAGGAAGCCTACGCCAACAAGGGGGAAAATTGCAAACTCCACACAAATGCCAACTGGCTTAGCCGAGGCTCGAAGCAGTGACCTTTTTGCTGTGAGGCGACAAAGCTAACCACTGAACCACCGTGCCACCCCATAATGAGCTTAGACTCTTAAAAATGGACGTCTTAAAAAAAAAAGATGCTTTCATAACGCCCGGGTGATAAACGAATGATAAGAGCCACCGTGACCAATCGGCTCTGAACATGCTCATTTGCATACATTTAAAAGTCAGGCCTTTCATCTGTGAAATGAGACAATTAGGATGCTGTCTCTATTCGTACGGCGAGCTCGCGCTGACGAGGGATTGTTGATTTTGTTTTTGTTAATGAAGGATTGAGGCCATGCATAAGCCTCGAGTGGAAGGTCGCAGTTGTTGCGTCTGAATTGTGATGATGTTTATGTCATTTTACTGAAGTCTGGTGCTTTAATTGGAGATGTTTTTGTTTTTTTTGTTCTGCTGGTTGTTCACAGGAACAGTCAGGCGTTTGGAGAGGATGTGGAGGTGGAGAAGTGTTTGTCTGAAGACACACTCGAGGCCAGCAGCTGCACACACTCCAACCTGAGACACACACATGCAGAAGATGAAGGAGCCGCTGGTTCTTCACACACTCTTGCCTCTCTAAATGAGGTGAGTGCGTGTCTTTGTGTGTGTGTTCTGGTTTGTTTGGTAAAAAAATTTTTATAGTGACGTATGTCTGTCTGTCTGTCGATCTATCTCTCTATTTATTTATCTTTCTGTCTATGTCAATTGTTCTATGCATCCATCCATCCATCCATCCATCCATCCATCAACCCACCCATTCATCCATCTATCTGTCTATCCATCCATCTTTCCATCTATAACCGTATATCTGTCCATCTATCTATCTAACCATCTGTCTGTATCTATTCATCCATCCATCCATCCATCCATCCATCTATCTATCCATCCATCCAACATCTACCTGTCTGACTTTCCACCTGGATATTCCATACATCAATTTATTGATCCATCTCTACCTATCCAACTGTCTGTCTGTCTATGTCATTCAATCTTTCTATCATCCATCCATCCCTCCATCTATCTAATGTCAGGGTCCCCGCGAGTCCTTAAAAAGTCTTGAAATGTCTTAAATAAAATTTTCGATTTTTAAGGTCTGAAAATGTCTTGAATTCTGTAATTTTCCATAAGGAGGTCTTAAATTTCATGTGGGATCTTAAATTTCATGTCCAACTCGTCTTTTTTATTCGTTTTTTTCAACCGCTATTTGACCAGCGCAACATTTGGGGGCAGCACTTCGTGGGTGCAACCTGCATCATTCCATAGGTGACATACAAGTGATTGATGAATGCGTTGCGTTGATACTTCGCCACCACAGCATTTTGCGAATCGCAAGCATGGGCAAATGTTTGTTTGATGACAATTGGTTGGAGGACGAAAAGTATCGGGGGTGGCTAAAGAAAACAGCCAGTAATCATGAAGGGAGGTGTGCTTTATGTAAAAAGACGATAAAACTGGGAACAATGGACCGCAAATCGCTCGATTCACACATGAAAGCAGAGAAGCACAAAAAGTATGTGTAGTCACAGGCAAGTAGTTTGCCCATAAGTGTGTTCTCATCGAGCACTTCGACCTCAGCCTTCCACAAGGCCGTCCACTTCTAGCAATGCCTTCAGCAGCTTTGCGAATATAGTTACATTTAAGGCCGAAATACTGTGGGTATTTCAAACCGTAAGCCGCCACCACTCGTACACCTCAAATGAGGACGTCCACCTAGTTTTTCAAGCAATGTTCCCTGACTCAGAGTGTGCGAGTACGTTCACATGTGGAAGAGACAAAACTGTATATTTAGCACGATTTGGTGTTGCCCCATACCTAAAGAAGAAACTAATTTCTCAAGCAAACAAGGATGCTTTCATCATAATGTTCGATGAATCCATGAACGCAGCAACGAAGACTTATACTTGCACTTTAGACGTTGAGCAACTGACGAGACCGGTACCCTGTTGTCAGGGTTGTAAGGTCAATCAGCACTCGGCATAAAAGTTTTTGCGTCCCTTTGACCTGTCTTGAACGTGCAGGGGCGGACTGGGACTAAAAGTCAGCCCTGGCACTGTAGCCACACCAGCCCACATTACCACACCGACACAGCCCCACCCAAGGACACGCACATTCACTACTTATATTGGTGTACAGATGGTAAAATGATATAAGCAGTACCATATTTAAGAGATATTTAAACATTTAATGTATGTGACTGGAACAAAAGCAACCCATTTATATATGCAATCATGTCATTCATTTTCTTTTCGGCTTAGTGCCTTTATTAATCTGTGAACCGTCAGCTTATCCAGCATATGTTTTACACAGCGGATGCCCTTAAAGCTGCAACCCAATATACTGGCTTACCCAATTCACAATTTGCCTACCCAATTCACCTATAGCATGTGTTTGGACTTGTGAAGGAAACCAGAAGGAAATCCACACAGAAAGTGCCTAACATTTACTATTATTCTTACTATTACCTCCATAATCATCATAATATTCTCAAACAGAATAAAAGATGCCTACATTTAAAAAACAATACATATGAAAAAATAAATAAATAAAATAGGTGCCCACATTTAAAAAATGGTCCAGCCCTTCTGGCATTTGCCAGAACTGCCAGATGGCCAGTCCGCCCCTGTGAGCGTGGCTCTAGTGAGTTGTGCCACGCTAATGCTTCACCACATCATTCTGTGTTGACACACTGAACATTTTCCTGTTTTTTTTTTTTGTTTAGGTAAAGTCTTAAATTTTCATTTTAGAGGACTTAAAAAGGTCTTAAAAGGTCTTAAATTTCTTGTTAAAAAATGTGCAGATACCCTGAATGTCTGTCCATCCATCCATCCATCCATCCATCCATTCGTCTATCCAACCAACCGTCTATCATTCAGTCGTTCCATCTTGCCATTCATCCATCCATCCATATATCCAATCAATCAATCAATCAATCAATCAATCAATCAATCAATCAATCAATCAATCAATCAATCAATCAGTCCATCCATCCATATATCCAATTGTTCAATCAATCAATCAATCAATTAATCCATCCATATATCCAATTGTTCAATCCATCCATCCAGCCATCCATATATCCAGTTGTTCAATCTATCAATCAATCAATCAATCAATCAATCCATCCATCCATCCATCCATCCATATTTCCAATTGTTCAATCTATCAATCAATCAATCAATCAATCAATCCATCCATCCATCCATCCATATATTCAATTGTTCAATCCATCCATCCAGCCATCCATCCATATATCCAGTTGTTCAATCAATCAATCCATCCATCCATCCATCCATATATCCAATTGTTTAATCTATCAATCAATCCATCCATCCATCCATCCATATATCCAATTGTTCAATCCATCCATCCATCCATCCATCCATCCATCCATATATCCAATTGTTCAATCCATCCATCCATCCATCCATCCATCCATCCAACCATATATTCAATTGTTCAATCCATCCATCCATCCATCCATCCATCCATCTAATCATATATCTAGCTGTCTGTCTATCTATTTAATGTCTATCGGTCTGTCCATCCATCCATCCATTCATTCAATCGTTCCATCCATCCATCCATCCATCCATCCATCCATCCATCCATCCATCCAATTGTTTCATACATCTATCCATGTAATAATTTCATCCATCTATGCATCTATCTATCAGTCTATTTATCTATGTAATGTCCATCCATCCATCCATCCAACCAACCAACCATCTGTCTATCTATTATTCTGTCATTCCATCCATCCTTCCATCTATCAAATGGTTTCATCCATCCATCCATCCATCCATCCATCTGTTCCATCCATCCATCCATCCATCCATCTGTTCCATCCATCCTATCATTTTATCCATCCATGCATCTATAATTCAATTATTCAATATTTCTGTTCATCTATCATCTTTCTTATATCTGTCTTTAATCATCTCTGTTTACCTATCTGTCTTTCCTTCCTTCCCTCTTCAGTTCAGTTTTTTAGTAAAACCTGCAGGATTTATATCAGTATAGTGGATGTTTATGGTGCTCAGTAGCTTAAACTTCCAAATTGCAGTTTCAATGCAGCTTTTAAAGGCTCCAAATGATCCCATATAAGGAACAAGTGTCTTGTGTAGTGAAACAACCTAAAAAACAGCTTATAGAAACTGTTTGGAAGTTAAAAACACTGTGCACAATAGATAAAAATAAAATTTTTTTGAAAAAGTATTGGATGTGGGCGGATGAGTAAATTACCAGGAAATGTTCGTGCTGGAAGAGAACTAATCCTTTAGTAATGGTAGCGTATTTTCATCCCGATTATGAATGTGGATTTTGGTGATTTAAGCATAATTGTACTGGATCCTGATTTACGAGTTCACGGTAAATGTTTTATTCCAGGACTTATACTGCTTTTATTATGACTGCTTTTGCCATTATTTGAACATTCCTGCCTCTGTTTTGCGATCTTGTTTCTCCATTCTCCCTCAGAAACTATTAAAAATGTAATAACATACTCCTACTATAAGTTTATACGTTCAATAAAGTGTGTCTGTCATTTTCACTGTTTTCCAATTTTAATTCTCTATTACAGTGGTTCTCAAACTTTTTTCACCAAGTACCACCTCAAAAAAAAAAAAAATGTCTCTCCAAGTACCACCAAAATGACCAGTATTGAAATAAAGTAGCGTAGAAGGCCAAATGAAGCATCTACAGCACTGCACAGTTCGAGGCAGAGTCATATTCATATTTATGGAGTTTTTGATTAATTTTGTAATATATATTGCATGTACATATGACATATTTGTAAAACTTTTAACTTGTCTCTAGATTGGTAGGAACCCGTTTTTCTCAGAGGATGTCAAGCTGAAGTTTTATTTATGGAAAAAATTCAAAAGCACTGCGGTGTTTGGGTGGTCAGTATTTGTCTGAGATAATTTGTCTACTGAAGTTATATTCCATACTAAATATGAAACTGATTGGTCGGTTCTTGTCACAGACTCGCGATGCAGCATTCTGAAAAATTAAGATGTTTCAACTTAGTACGCCTGGAATACGCAAGTGCGTCGTGCTGCAGTTCTTAATCATTGTACTAGCCTGTGGGTTAAATTTTGATGCTCAGGTGACCTTGATGTAACAAGAGAATCCGATCAGTTTTCAAAATAAACGATTTTTCAATATAAAAGATCATTCAGTCTTAGATAATAAATAAGTTAAAAATAATTATTTTTTTTGTGCGGCCTGGTACTAATATATATATAGACCGGTGCCAGTCTGTGGCCAAAGTGCTGGGGACCACTGTTCTAGCGTGTATCTGCTCTGCAAGCACCTTTTTCTCTAGTTCTGCATCATTTGGATTGATTTTTAGAAGCTGATGACTCTATGCACTTAAGTAAACAGTCTAAGCACAGCCTTTTGATCGTAGGCTTTAGAGAACAGCCAATGCTGCTCACATTGGTGTTATCGTACGCGTTAAATTATTAAAATTGTATTCATTTTTTCTGTCATTACTCAGCGATTCCTCCGCGTACCACTAGTGGTACATGTACCACAGTTTGAGAACCACTGCTCTATTGCAATAGAGAGACAATGTGTATTTTTTGGGTAAATACAGAAAAATATTTATATAAACTTAATGTGTATATTTAATCCATCTATACATTTATATTTACAATCACTTCATTAGGTACACCTTACTAGTTTGGGGTTGGACCCTCTTTTGTCTTTTATGGTTTTATGGTTCATTTATTTTGTGTTTTGAAGCCACCATCCAAGAGCCAGCAGGACAAGTCCTCTCTGCCCCTGAGGAAGCGTGTTTTGCCAGCCTGGATGACGACTTCAGCTGCCACCAGTCCGTCACCCGCCAAAGGTACTGTCACCATGGCAACTCCGCCAGTCCTCTGTCCGTCTCACACCCATTGAAGAATAAAAAAAAAAGAAAAAAAAAAACCTGTGGCTGAAGGATAAAAGTGAGAAAGCAGTGGGAGTTTGTCTGCATCTGCTTGTCAAATGGGTTTGTGTGCTGTATCTGAATGCTTTCAGATCGGGCCCAGATGTCTACATACAGAAATGCAGATCCACAAATGCAGATGTATCGCTAATGTGCTTGTAAAAGAGCAAGTGCAGACTCTATAAACACCTCATTAGCACTAAACCTGTCATATTCAGCTCTCCATCTGGAGCTCGTGGTGCTTTACACTGAGCTCTTATGTTTCTCTTCAGCTCATTTATTAGATGATTTTGGGTCGCTGGCTGATAGCTAGTATGTTTATTCCACCTTCTGATTCATTATGTACATTACAGTGTGTGTTAAAGTGTGATGTAATATCCTTAGACATATTTCAATAGCAGGGACCTACTGTTTTGTTATAATTTTATTTTGTTTATTTTTATTATTACAAATTTTAATTTTATTACATTTTTATTTAATTTAATTTTAATTAATTTTTAAAATAAAATTTTAAGTATTTTTTTCTATCATTAAATTTTTATTTTTTTATTTTTTTATAATTTTGTATTGAATTAAATAGATTTTTTATTTTATTTATTTTTTTCTTTATTATTTTTTATTATTTTTAATTTCATTAAATAGCTTTTTATTTACTTTTTTAAAAAATATTTCATTTTATTTTTTAATTTAATTTTTATTTAATTTATTTTGTATTAAATTTTACATTTTTAAAAACTTTTTGTGTTGTAATATTTTTTTATTAAATTTTAATGTAATTTAATAAAAAAAAATATTATTATGAATGTTTTATTTAATTTAATTTAATTAATTTTTATACAACATGGAATTAGAATGGATGATAAAAGTGGAAATGCTTGAATGTCACCAACATGTTGATTATTTATAAAAAAAATCCATAAAAAATAATATTTTTTTTTTATAAAAAAATAATTATTGTATTTAATAATGTTAATGTTTGAAAATTAAATGGCCTTCAAGCATTTGAACAACCTTTGCAAATACAACAATCTGATTATTCTTAAAAGGCACTCTCAAGGTTTAAAGAATAAATATTTTATATATAAACATATAGTAATGTGTATTATCACAATATATCGAATATTTCTATATGTCTAATATTTACTGGATAATAAACATGTTCAAATGTTGACCTTATCCATCAATAAACATTGTCCTGTTTTCTCAGTAGCCAAAGGAACCCCTACAAAAGCCAAACGCGTTGCAACACCCAAGCGGGCGACTGGACCGAAACGGGCTCGAACTGCAGCGATGTCATCTGAGGAAGAGGAGCTGGAGGACAAAACGCCCAAGAGGAAAACAAAAAGACTGAAGAGCGACTCTGAAGAGGAGTCCTTGCCACCTCTGGTAGCTCATACTGCACACTCGACATTAGTGCATAATCGTGTATTATACCGACAACTGCAGAGTTCACAAGACGTGTTATGCATATAGTTTTGAACAGGGAAAAATGTAACTGTCAATATGATGTGTGTTTTCATGACAGTTTCTGCAGCTTCATTGTTATAAACTCCAAATGCGCTGGAAAATTTGCCTCACACACTGCAAAAAATGCTTTTCTTACTTAGATTTTTTGTCTTGTTTCTAGTCCAAATATCTGAAAATTCCTAAATCAAGAAGAATTTTCTAGACAAGCAAAACATATTTTTTTGTTTTGAGAAATAATATGCCAATAATAAGTGAGTTTTTCCTTAAAACAAGCAAAATAATCTGCCAATGGAGTAAGCAAAATAATCTTACGTCAAAAGAAAAAACAAGATTATTTTGCTTACCCCATTGGCAGATTATTTTGCTTGTTTTAAGGAAAAACTCACTTATTATTGGCATATTATTTCTCAAAACAAGACAATATGTTTTGCTTGTCTAGAAATTGCCTCTTGATATAAGAAATTTTAGATATTTAGACTAGAAATAAGACAAAAAATCTAATGAGACATACAGCAGGGAAAAGGAGTATTGAACACGTCAAAACTCTTTCTAAAGGAGCTGTTGACATGGAATTGAAGATGATTTTGGTAAAAAAAAAATAAACAGTACAAAATAAAACAAAACAAATTTGAAAAATGAGTTGTGTAATAACAATGAAATGACACATAGAGAAACTACTGAACTACTAAAATGTGTTTAATAATTTATCTAAAAGTGACGGCAGCTTAAAGACGCCTCTCATATGGAGAATGAAGTCACATGAATTGCTCAGGCGTGAGTTTTTCACAGACTTCAACGGAGTACAAAAATCTTGATGGCCTTGTGGCTCTTGTATATCAAATCTGAGCTTTAATTTGTATTTTTTATTGGATTCAAGTCAGGTGATTGGCTGGGCCATTCCACAGCTTTATTTTCTTTCTCTGAAAGCATTTGAGAGTCTCCTTGGCTGTGTTTTGGATCATTGTCTTGCTGAAATGTCCACCCTAAATTCATCTTCATCCTCCTACTAATGTAGATGTTGGACTGAAGCAGCGAATATTCATTTACACTGACATGACTTGCTGAAGAACTACTGAGAGATTTCAGCTGCGTTCTGGGCTTTCCATGCCTTTCAACACCTTCCTTTCTTCATGTGTTCTATAGTTTGTTATTTTAGTTATATATATATATATATATATATATATATATATATATATATATATATATATATATATATATATATATATATATATATATATATATATATATATATATAGTTTTTAATTGAGTCACATATAACTTATTTTTGTACACAAATTAGTTTTGTTTTCTTTGTGTATATATTGATTGCTTTGGTTGTTACAACAACAATTTCAAGTCAGCAGCACTTAGGAATTAGAAATGTGTAGGTGACGTGTTCAATACTTATTTCCCCCACTATTTGCAAGCTTGAAATCTCTACGTACCGTATAAGCTAATCAACTACACTCTAAGGGTGCTTTCATATCTAGTCTTTTGTTTCGGAAACGGTCTCGTTTGCCCAGTTAGCGCGGTTCGTTTAATCTGCGGCAAAACAATCGGTCTGAGATTGCCTGAATGAGGTGGTCTCGGCTCGATTGAAACGAGCTCCGGAGCGGATCGATTGTAGTGAGAATGCGATACAATCCGAGCCCAGCTAGATCACAGTGTTTTATGGATATGTAATAGGCATACGGCTATATGAAGAGTTATGAGTAGGGCGGGAGGTCATTATCTAAGTTGTTATCTATCTGGGAGTAATAATCTCCCAGAAATCGCGCGTCTCCCTCCTGGTCCTCAAATGCGTCGCGCACCCTTCCCACACCTTGCCCACCGCATCCCTCTTGGCTCTTCAGACACGTTGCGCGCACCCTGTCAAACACCACTACCCCCCCTTGACAGCTGAGCAGGACTCCGCAAAATGAACCGTGAAACTCGACCAATGTGAGGAGATTTTACTCACACATGACTTGTTTTAGCTATTTTAGTCCGTTTAGAAACTCTGCCGTGTGAAAGTGAACCGCAGCAAGAGCAAAAAGCAACACTATAACAATTTTAATCCCTGTTTCGGAACAAATGAATCGATTCACAGGAGTGAAGCACCCCGAAACAAATGTTCTCTGGTTTTGTAATCTGCAAGAAGCAAATGCAAGGTTGTTGGGGAGGTGCTTAAAAAAAAACATACCACTTTAGAAAATAGCAACTTTAAAAATATTTGCCCCTTTAAGTACACACTGTAACCACAAAAGAGTTTAAATAACAAACCTATCTAAACTATTTGGTCATTTTGGAGCGAGATGCTAATAGACTAATCTGATTCAATGATCTATGCTAAGCTAAGCTAAAAGTGCTCCCGCCAGACTCTGAGATATCGTCTGAATGGATTCATAAATGGTAAAACTCAACTGTTTAACTCTACGGGAGCAGTACAATGAGCCTATTCACAAAAAAAATAAAAATAAAAATTTAAAAGGCTCTTCAGCCAAGATCTGATCAAACATAAATGCTTATCAATGTAAATGTGATTATATCCAGTGACCCTGGTACTTATATTGTATGTTTTTTTTGTTTTTATGTTGTCATTTGAAAGTGCTTTTTTTTTGTTTTGATTTGTTGAAATGAAAACAAAAAAAATGAAAAAAAAAAGTCTTAATTCTACCTTTACAAACCCTGCAGAGAGCTGTGTACATGAACTATGTCACTTGTATTTAACATCAGCCTATTGTTGTATTGAAATGAAAGCAGAAGTGAGGATTTGCTGTGTGTCCTGACAGGATGATGCAACGGCTCCCAGTGGAGAGTCTTCAGTCCCGGACGGAGTGAACGGCACAGGAGTGATGGAGCGTAATGATGAGGAGAGGAAAGGAGGTGGCAGGAGAGCCCAGGTCAGACCAGGAGATCAAGCACAAAACTCCAAGACTCAAACTGAAGATCGCAGTGATTCTCAGGTCAGCCGGGGACTCTCGCAGAGGTCAGATGTCACAGAGAGCGAGATCAAAACAAGCAGGAGTGAAGTGAAGAAACCACGGCGGACAGCCTGTCCTTATGGCAGCTCCTGCTACAGGTACTGACGCAAACAACCTCCAGTCTACTTTTCCAACTTTACCTTCAAACTTTTTCGTAGGCTATTTTTGATGCACATTTTTGGAATATTTCATTAAAAATGTGTATAGCAAGATGAGCATGAATTTTGAAAATGTGCATAAAAAACATACAGGTGAAGTCAGAATTATTAGCTCCCCTTTATATCAAGAAAATCAAACAAAAAAGAAAAGTAAAGCTCGTAGACAAACTTTATGGTGGCTTGAGACAGCCTCATCTGAAAGTTTGAAGTAGTTTCAAAATATAAATAATTAAAGTAGTTTTTAAGACGTTTGAAACAGCAGAGATAGATAGCTACATATATATATTAGCGTGTTTCTAGTATGGATTGGCATGTTTCTTGCTAATACCTCATTTAGACTTGCAGCGACTTTGCCTGTCGCTCTTTTGCGTGAAACACAGATCTGTGCAGGTATATACAACACAAATACAAGCGGCCTCTGAGCAAGCTGAGAGAAGATCATGCGAGTTCTACTGGTGCTCCTATTGGCTGTCACTCAAGAAATTCGCTGTTCATTTGCTTAAAGTTGAAGGATTGTCAACATAACCACGTCATTCAACATGCCCATCTGGTCACCAATGGTCGCTAAACAGAGTTCGACAGAAGTCGCTCGCTCTCCGTTGAAATGAACAATAGACTGTTGATTTGCCGCTGCGAGTCATTAGTAGTGTGAATGAGGCTTAGGGCATTGCTAGGGTGTTCTAAGTAGTTACTAAGGTGTTGCTTGGCGGTTGCTAGGGTGTTCTAGGTGGTTGCTAGGTGGTTGCTAAGGTATTTTGATTGGTCGCTAGGATGTTCTAGGTGGTTGCTAAGGTGTTGCTATGCAGTTGCTAGGGTGTTCTAGATGGTTGCTAAGGCATTGCTAGGTGGTTGCTAGGGTGTTCCAGGTGGTTATAAGGTGTTCTGAATGGTTGCTAGGTGGTTGCCTAGGTGTTCAAGGTGGTTGCTAAGGCGTTGCTAGGTGGTTGATAAGTTTTTGCAAGGCGGTTGCTAAGGTGTTGCTAGGTGGTTGCTAAGGCATTGCTAGGCGGTTGCTAATGGCCCGTTTCCATTAGGTGGTACGGTAAAGTTTGGTTCAGTACACTTTTATGTTTCCACTGTCAAAGGGTTCCTAAAAGCGAACCGTACCGTACCACTTTTTGGTTACCCTTTAGGCAGTGGAAACGCAAGCCTGATAAAGGTGACCCGTACAGACCCGTACTGTACCAGTCAGTGGAAACAGGCCAGTAAGTGTGGTTAGGTGCTAAGGTGTTCTAAGTTGTTGCTTAAGCATTGCTAGGTGGTTGCTAAGCATTGCTAGGTGGTTGCTAAGCTGTTGGTAGGCAGTTGCTAGGGCGTTCTGAGTGGTTGCTAGGCACTTGCTAACATAAATTAGCATGGTTCTATAGGTAGTATGAATTTGCATGTTGCTAGCATGTTTCTAGTTAAACTAGCATGTTGTCATCATGGTTCTAGTATTAATTAGCGTGTTGCTAGTATGATAAGTATATTGTTAGTATGAACTGCTATGTTGTTAGTATGTCCAATGTAAAGTCAATGATTTTTTATACCATGAAAGTCTATGGGCCAGTTGCTATGGTGGCGTAAGTGGTTGCTAGGGTGTGGCTTAAAAGTTTAAAAGTCATCAGTGATTGGCAGATTGGTAGTCTGAGTTAAATGAGCGTAACCTTAAGTCTGTATGACAGTTTGGCGCAAAGTTGTGGGGTCACAAAATTTGACCCAATGTTAAGTTAATGGAACTTTTCCGAAATTGCCGGGTCAGTTTTCGGAAAACCGTAAGTTGGATCAGTTGGAAAAGATATAGCATCTCGAGTCAGACCAGTTTGGAGGTTTGGCATTAGTTTGGTGGTTGTAGTATGAACGGTTTAAGAGGAGATGCATATATAAATTAGGCTCAGAAGAAGAAGTTGTGTATGTAGTATAACAGTGTGTTGGCCTTCTCAAGCCACCATAATAAAGGCAAATCTTCTCCTTCCAAAAACAAGACCCCGGTCATTCCTGTGTGAACAATTGAGAAAATGCTTTTATCATGTACTGCATGACAATACGGAGAGAAAAGAACAATAAAAAGATGAGGCGAATGCAAGTCCCAGCAGGAAAGTGAACCGCGCTCAAATGCAGAGTCTACTTTTTATTTTTTTTGCTTCACCTCACCTCTCGAGGACAGAAGCATCCTGCAAAAATACACGTTCTGCGTTTCTATCTCTCAGCTTTTAGCTATTAAAAAGTAAACATCAGAGAATTAGACATCAGGGAAAACATGTGCGCGTCTCTTTGAAATACAGCACCGCAAAAACCATTTCAGTCCTGCAGATTTACGCACTTTGAAAGATCTCCGAGGAGCTTCTGGTGGAGAATGTTTCCTTAATCCTCGTTTTATCTTGAGATAACATTACCTGATGGAGCGTTCATCTACAAAACAATATTTCAAGTCTTATGTTTATAGTATTACCCGTTGGATTTGTAAGTGAATAAGCAAAGATTCCACTCTCATCTGCTTCTAGTTTTCTTTTCTACCAGCAGCTGTGATACTAAATCATAAAGTAAACTGATACTACGGGGCGCGATATTTATTGGCTACTATAATACAGTAATTGCAGATTCAACAGTGTGCCAGCTAATAGTACCAAATGTGCCATCAAGGCTAAAGAAAAGAACAAATCTCATTCATTCATTTTCTTGTCGGCTTAGTCCCTTTATTAATCCGGGGTCGCCACAGCGGAATGAACCGCCAACTTATCCAGCAAGTTTTTACGCAGCGGATGCCCTTCCAGCCGCAACCCATCTCTGGGAAACATTCACACACACATTCACACACACACTCATACACTTGGACAATTTAGCCTACCCAATTCACCTGTACCACATGTCTTTGGACTCTGGGGGAAACCGGAGCAGCCGGAGAAAATCCACGCGAAGGCAGGGAGAGCATGCAAAATCCACACAGAAACACCAATTGAGCCGAGGTTCGAACCAGCGATTTTCTTGCTGACAATCTGCAGACAATCATTCTTTCATTTATTAATTTTCTTAGCCACTATTTCAGAGGTCGCCACAGTGGAATGAACCGCCAACGATTCCGCATTTCAGTACTGAGAAACACCCATACACACTCACATTCACCCTCACACTTAAACACTACGACCAATTTAGTTCATCCAATTCACCTATAGCGCATGCGTTTGGACTGTAGGGGAAACCGGAAGACCCGAAGAAAACCCACATGAACATGGGGAGAACATTCAAACTCCACACAAACGCCGCGACTCGAACAGCAATCTTCTTATTCTGAGGCGACAGTGTTAAAAACTATATTCAGGGGAAATTCTACCATTATTATTAAATATCAATCATCAATAACCTTTCTTGTTATTGGTATTTTGTAAAACCCTTGTGTTGAACCAATGTTGGGTCAAATGTGGACAAATCCAAAAGCCCACCTAGGACATTAGTTGAAAAGATTGGACAAAAAACTGTTGGGTTTATTCATATTTGACCCAAAGTTGGGTTAAAATGACCCATAATTTGTTAGAGTGTATAAGTCATATTTAAAAGTTCACGAAACCCTCCAGCACTTCTTTTTTAACAGATTAGATTTTAACAGATTGGTGTGTCTTGAGCATCAGTTTGGACAGGGGTCACCAATCCTGGTCCTGGAGGGCCGGTGTCTCTGCAGGGTTTAGCTTCAAATTGCCTCAACACACCTGCCTGGATGTTTCAAGTATACCAAGTAAGACCTTGATTAGCTTGTTCAGGTGTGTTCGATTAGGGTTGGAGCTAAAATCTGCAGGACACCGGCCTTCCGGGAACAAGTTTGGTGACCATTGAGTTAGGACAATGTTAGCACCTGTTAGCTTTTATTGTGGGGAAAACTGGGTAATTTTGAGCTTTTGTCAGCTTATTTCAGCTTCGGGGTTTGAAATGATTTTTGGGGCAGGATCAAAATCGGCGACGTAGCGCAGAACTGCAAGTGCAAAGATGAAGCGTCGGTTTCTCATTATTATTCATAGCGGAGTTTTCTTATCCTATGAGAAGAGCCGGCTGCTTAATAATTCAAGACTGCATAGGCTTACCGAAGGCGAGGCAGACCTGCCAGTGCCAAGCTGTGAGACACGGACCCACGGCACGCAGTATTTAGCTGTTCATGAAAAGTCGTAGGTGTTTGTTTTCATTTTCTACGGGGTTTGGTGCATGTTTTTCCCCGCGATGCTGTCAGGGCCGATACAGCAAAGCAGTATGCAAGCATTTTTGTCGAGAGAGCAGCACGAGAATTGGAGAATGGTGGACGTTGTCTTTTATCAGGAGTTTGTTCACATTTAGACACATCGCCGTGCTGCTGTGTTCGCCTAAATCCTCTAGATTACAAACAAGGCTAATGGTCAAAATTGGCAGGGCAAGAGAGCTGCTGCACTGAGTCTGCATTCAGACCTATGATTCAGACCCAGAGATTGAGGGAAAAGTCCTCCTTTATAGTGTTTATATGAACATGATTATCTTTATAATGATATAAATTGTGGTTATTTGTATATGAAATTACGAAAGACAAATGTAGCAGGGCATTAAATTACTGTTTATTTTTTTGCATTTTATCTTTGTAAGCTATAAAATCATGCGTCTCACGGTTTGTGTCTCATTTTGTGAGCTAACTAAAAACAGTTGTTCGCTACCCTCCTTCTCCCCTGCTGGCCACGCCCACTCCTGCTCTTTTCTCGCGAAGCTCCACGCCCATTATCACGCATCTTTTGAAAATTGTAAGGTAGACTTGAACCGAAAGTGGGACGTGTCATGACCCTTTAAGCCAGTGGTCACCAAACTTGTTCCTGGAGGGCCGGTGACCTGCAGATTTTAGCTCCAACCCTAATCAAACACACCTGAACAAGCTAATCAAGGTCTTACTAGGTATACTTGAAACATCCAAGCAGGTGTGTTGAGGCAAGATGGAGCTAAACCCTGCAGGGACACCGGCCCTCCAGGACCAGGATTGGTGACCCCTGCTTTAAGCTATAAGTAGCTAAACCTAGCAGCTTAGGACTTGCTAGCATGGATTCTGGCATTGCTAACGTGATATGCCATAATCCATGCTAGCAAGATGTTTCTAGCATGTTCAGCATTATATTAACATGACTTAACATGTGGGGCAGTGCGGTGGGGCAGGTTCAAGGCCCGGCTGGTTTAGTTGGCATTTCTGTGTGGAGTTTGCATGTTCTCCCCATGTTGGCGTGGGTTTCCTCCGGGTGCTCCGCTTTCCCCCACAGACCGCATCCGCTAGGTAAAACATTTGCTGGATTAAGTTGATGGTTCATTCCGTTGTGGCAACCCCTGATAATTGGGAAACTAAGCAGAAAAGAGATGAATGAATGTTGTATGAGGCATCTTAACATACTTATTGTTTCCTATTTCTAATGGGTCTGTTATTATATCACGTTCATAATATCACATCAGGTGGACCTCGTGCTCAAACTCATTCCTGAGCACAGTATCTTGCATTTTTAAAAGCAAAGACTTGTTTGATATGAACGAGCCCTTACTCTTTCAGAGTTTCATTGTGGTTAGCCGAAAGGTTGCATTGTGTCGTGGATGGGTCACAAGAAAGATAATGAAGAAAAATCACTTCAGCTGACGGTCTGTCAGTGTAATAATGAAGGTGGTTGGATGCCAGTGATTAAGTTGATTTGCTGTATTGTTTCATCATGCATTGCTCGACTCATCAGTAAGCAGTTGTGTTTTCCTCCATTCAGGAAGAATCCGCTTCACTTTCAGGAGTGCAGTCATCCTGGAGACATCGACTATGAGGAGGAGAAAGCAGACGAGGAGGAGAATGAAGATGACGATCGGCCTGAGTGTCCATACGGCACACAATGCTACAGGTGACGCCTGATGCTTCACTTTAAAGCTTTTTTATTTAGCATTGCATGGCTACTAAACAATCAGATTCAAAAAACAGACAGAATTGTTGTATAAATTTATTTTAGCAAATTAGCAATTTTTTTTATTAGTTCTACAAGTTTTCTGGAATTATGCTTAAAGTCATTGTGACAAGAATTTCACAGGAAGAGACTTTTATTTTTATGTTTAATTTTTTTAAGGCATGTTTTAATGTAAATTCAGAAGCTCCAATCTCATTGGTCAGACTGTTTTTAATGCAACGTGTCAAATGCAGACCTGTGGCATTTTCTTTTAAAATTAAAATTTTATGCTTGCAGTTTAATTCTGGTTTATTTGTAAAGCGGTTTTACAATAATTATTATATTTATAGTTATTATAACTATTCTTATGATAGTTTAGTGAGGAGTACACGTTGGTGATAATCTTGCTTGTACGCGTCCTGGTGTCCTGAGACTTAAATCGGGCCAGCTTGCAAAGTGCGAATACTCTTGAGTGTGTTGCATTTGTTTAACATTTGTTCTTTATGCATGCTCCGATATTTCAGGAAGAATCCACTTCACAAGAAAGAGTACAAACACACAAAGTCACCACGTGAGTATTTTTAAAAGTGATTTTAAAAAGTTTGATGACAAACTTTAATGTTGGCTGGACAAAAGCACATGAATTAGCATGCTGCTAGTATGTTTTTTGTATTTTAGCATATTGTTTACATTAATTAGCTTGTATTTAGCATAGAATAAATGAACATGATGCTAGTATTTTTTTTATTAATTATTTTTATTATGAATTAACAGGTTTCTTTTTGCATTAATTCATTATAAAACATTCAAACTGCATGTTAACTTACCATGTTTCTAACATTGGATTTAGCATGTTGCTAGCATGAATTGTCATGTTGCGAACATGTTTTTAGATTGTCATGTTGCTAGCGTGTTTCTTAAACATCTTATAATTGGGATGTTGTTAACATGTTCGCATGAGTTAGCATGCTGAAAGCATGTTGTTTGTAGCATCAATTGGCATATTTGCTAGTATGGTCTAGCATTTATTATGTTGTTAACATGTTTTCTAACATTAACATATTGCTTACATGAATTAGCATGTTGTTAAGCATTAATTACTATGCTACTTGCATGAATAAGCATGTTTTTCAGGCGTGTGTTGCTTACAAGAATTAGCAGGAATTAGCATGTTGTTAGCAAGGATTAGTTTCTATTTTTCCTGTTTTTGTTCTATAATTATTATGTTAGCAAATAAATATTTTAGCAAATTATACTATTAGCAAATAATATCGTCAACAAATAATATAGTCAACAAATGATACCGTTAGCAAGTAATATCGTCAACAAATGATACTGTTAGCTAATTATAATGTTAGCAAATAAACATGTTAGCAAATTATATCGTCAACAAATGATACCGTTAGCAAATTATAATGTTAGCAAATTAACATTTTAGCAAATGATATTGTCAACAAATAATATAGTCAACAATTGATACCGTTAGCAAATGATATTGTCAACAAATGATAGCGTTAGCTAATTATAATATTGGAAAATAAACATGTTAGCAAATGATACCGTTAGCAAATGATACCGTCAGCAAATGATATCGTTAGCCAATTATAATGTTAGCAAATAAACATGTTAGCAAATGATATCGTTAGCAAATTATAATGTTAGCAAATATACATGTTAGCAAATGATACCTGTAGCAAATTATAATGTTAGCAAATGAACATGTTCGCAAATTATACCGTTAGCAAATGATATCGTCAACACATGATAACGTTAACAAATTATAATGTTAGAAAATAAAAATTTTAGCGAATGATATTGTCTACAAATAGTACATTCAACAAATGATACCATAAGCAAATGATATCGTCAACAAATGATACCATTAGCTAATTATAATGTTAGCAAATAAACATGTTAACAAATGATACCCTTAGCAAATGATACAGTTAGCAAAAGATATCTTTAGCAAATGATATCGTCAAAAAATGATACCGTTGGCTAATTATAATGTTAGCAAATAAACATGTTGGCAAATGATATCGTCAACAAATAATACCATTAGCAAATTAAAATGTTAGCAAATAAACCAGTTAGCAAATTATAATGTTAGCAAATGATACCGTTGACAAATTATTTTAATAGCAAATGATACTGTTGGCAAATTAGATGATGCCATTAGCAAATAATAATGTTCCAAACGTGTGTAGCATGAGTTGACATGTTGTTAGGATGATCTAGGCTAGCTGCTAATGTTTTGATTGATGAAGGTTGTGAACTGCATGGATGTAGCTCATCGAGATTTACTGTTTAAAAGTTTTCACCCCCCAATAAAAGTCTCTGGATTTTTAGAAAAACCGTAAGTCGATCCATTTAGAAAAGATATAGTATAAATGTTGAGATCAGCCAGAAGTTCTGACGTGAGTTTGGTGGTTGTAGCTTGAAAGCTGCCGGTGGAGATGCATTTAGAATCTTTGTCCCAGTTGAAGAAGCTTAAATAAATTAAGTAGGACTTCAGTATGTTGGCTTCGTTAGGTCAGCAAAATTATTAATTCCTGCCCCAGTTAAATGTTTGTGAGTCAGATGAAGAGTTTATTCAGGTCTCCGACTTTAAGAGCAACAACAATAATAAAAGTGATGCTGACTTTTGAAGACTAATTGAGAGAAAAATGTTTTCTATCCGTCCTCCTTAATGTTAAACTTAAAAATGCTGGCTCCGGGTTTGGAAATGAATTATAATCAAGAGAAATGGATCGCTCCTGTGAACTCAATAAATGTTTTTATGGTGATATGTCTTTTTATGACAGCTCATGCTAAATCATCGCATTACTGCAGGTCGAATGTGAAATAAACAGTGTTTATTTCTGAGGTGGAGAGAGGAGGGGAAATATTTGTTGCATTTTCCAACATCCAGATCTGTATTTCTAAAAAAAAATGCTGTCTTTGTGCGCAGTGTTGTTTGTTTTCTTCTGCCCTCTTGAATCTGGATAGATCCATCAAGCATCAGGCTCTAGGTTTAATATAAGAGCTACATGCAGCGACCGTCTTCTGGACAGTTTTCAGAGTTATACAGGGTTTTTCCTGAATTTAGGAATAAATTGCACAGTGTAAACCACTACAGTTATACGAGCCGCTTGTATTAGACACACTAATCTGTACTTGGAGGTCCTGTGGAAAGTTAAACTACTCAAATGACTCTGTGCTTAGATTATACGGCAGTGCTTTAAATCTAAGTAGGTTTTTATTAACTCCAAAAAATGGGGGAGGAGAAGCAGTTGGTAAAAAGCAATTCAGACGCACATTCAAATACATATCATTTTAGAAAGAAAGATCGAAGAAAAAACGTAATTAAATAAAATACTATATTTGTGTAAGTTTCCTCCGGGTGCTCCGGTTTCCCCCACAGTCCCAACACATGCACTATTAGTGAAATGAATTACCTAAATTGGCCGTAGTGTATGAGTGTGAATGTGAGGGGGTATGGGTGTTTCCCAGTACTTGGTTGCAGCTGGAAAGTCATCCGCTGTGTAAAACATACACTGGTTAAGTTAGCGGTTAGTTCTGTGGCGACCCCTGATAAATAAAGGGACTGAGCCAAAGGAAAATGAATGAATAAATATACACTGTGTCTCAAAAAAAATCCAAGCAATCTGTCAGAATTTTGTCAAATATGTCCAACTTTATTTATATTTCGTAATTAGATGGTAAATAGATTAAATTATTTGATATGTCTGTTTTCACCTCACCTGATTTATATCACTGCATTACCTTGTTAAACAATGATCACCCAAATGTTGACAGCGCTTAAGTTTTATCACCTGCAAACTAAATTAGCACACACAGAATTAAAGAAACGTTTACATATTGAAGTCATTACTTGCCAGACTTCTGTGCAATTTGTCAGACAGTGCAATTGGTGCGTTGTGCGTCGTCTTCTTCACGCTGATCCAGTGCGATCAATTTTCGCTAACAAGTAATCCAATCCACCTTTTGTCCAGTTTTTAGTCGGAAATCATTGAAGAAAACGTGAAGCAGTGAAGCCTTTCGGTTCTCGTAAACCTTTGATCAGACTCTTATTTAATTTCGGTGTTTTGGAAGATAAAAGGATTATTTTTTTATTATTATAATTTTTTTTAAAGAAATTAATATTTTTTTGCAGGTATTAGCCCCTTTTGAACAAATTGAGTAGTCTAATGTCAAAATTATATATTTTTATATTTTGTTCTTAATTTGCATATTTTATTATGCATGTATATTTTTAATAGTTTGATTACAGTCAAAATAGGCAATTAAGACATTTTAAATGTTAGAATTAATTAATATTATCTAATAAATATTTAATAAATGTATTTATTTTAGTTGTGTTTAACTTTATAACCATTTAAGAAATTAATATTTATTGAGAAAGTTACAAAGTAATTATATTTAAAAAACGCTTTCAACTATATATATATATATATATATATATATATATATATTAACAAATTGGGTAAAATATTATATGGAAAAATCCAAATGTTGGGTTAAATTTGCTCCTATAAATTTTATTTAAAAATATTTAACTCCGTGTTTAGTTGTGTGCAATTTTTTTTACCCAAAATTGAGTTGAAATAACCTAGTGTGGTGTGAGTGAATCCTTCTGCACTCTTTTACACCTGCACTTTTACAAAAAATGTCCATTTCCCGCTAACATTTTAGTTCTTAAACTTGATTTAACACATTTGCCATTGTGTTCATGTACTCAACAGAAATGACTATGATTGGCTGTGAAGGTCATTAGTGCACCGAACTCAGCTTATAGACACACAAGCTGATCTTCACGGCTTTAAAACACTCCAGTGCCCCTTTGTCAGTGTTTACACTCAGTAAAAAGTGGTGATTTTGGTGAACTGATGACCTTCACGGCCAACCACAGTCATTTCTGTTGAGCATGTGAACACAATGGCAATCCGGCAGTTAAGAACGAGCTCAACAGCGTTCAAATGTTAGCGGGAAGTGGACGGTTTTAAAAGTCGGTACCGATTGGTACTGAATTCCAGCATTGTGACAACAATAGTTCATATAATAATCCAACGTTGGGTTAATTTTTTTAATTAAATTTTGATGAGACTTTTTAACCCAACAGTTGGGTTTCCACATCTGACACAACATTGTGTTTTAAAAACCCTGCATTTTTTAGAGTGTGTATTTGTATTCTGATGCCTCAGGATCACCCAAAAACATCTCCAACAGCTATGCGGTTACAAGCTCTGTGTTTTAGTTTTCCTGTAGAGTATAAACTTGTAAATTCAGCTCTGAGCAGTTTTTGAGAAGCCTCAGCACAAACTACAACCATCTTCAGGAGCGAAGCAAGCCAAAAATGACATGCTATTCATTTATCAGCGAAGGCATCTGCGAATGCTAATAAGCCAACGTCAGAACAGCGCGGCAGACGCGTCTCCTAACATTTATCTGGACCGGCGGTGCTGTGGGCCACATGTGCAGCCTTTTATTCCTCTCTAGGGTTTCTACAGTATGTTTCCACTTAGTTTAAGAAGAATTTAATTACGCTCAATGTGACGAGGAATGACCCAGAGGAGCCTCGGGTTACTCAGCACAACATTACGCTCATGCAGATATGATTCAGATTTTGGCTTCATCAGGGGTGATAAATATGCATGAGGCTACTCTAAACAATAAAGATATTGTTTGTTATTCTGTGGACGTCAAAGCGATTGCATCTTACAGAACCAAAGCTGTTGCTCAAACCTTTAATAACAAACATTTCGAGGTGAAACTTGATCAATGACTGAAAAAGTTTTTAACTAAATTAATGTTCAGATATTAAAAAAGGGGGAGAAGCAGTGGCACAGCAGGTAGTGCTGTTGCCTCACAGCAAGAAGGTTGCTGGTTCGATCCTCGGCTCAGTTGGTGTTTCTGTGTGGAGTTTGCATGTTCTCCCTGCATTCGCGTGGGTTTCCTCCTGGTGCTCCAGTTTCCCCCACAGTCCAAAGACATGCGGTACAGGTGAACTGGGTAGTCTAAATTGTCCGTTGTGTATGAGTGTGTTTGTGAATGTGCGTGTGGATGTTTCCTAGAGATGGGTTGTGGCTGGAAGGGCATCCGCTGCGTAAAAACATGCTGGATAAGTTGGTGGTTCATTCAGCTGTGGCGACCCCGGATTAATAAAGGGACTAAGACAACAAAATAAATGAATAAATGAATATTTGAAAAAGCCTACTGATAATGATGAAGACACACTGGTTTGACAAGTCAGTGAGGCTCATTTCAGGCTGCTCCGCTTGTATAACAGGAATTTTCTTTGGACAAATAAATGCAGTTTCATGGTAGAGTATGTGAAAGATTATGAGATAAGGTTGATTGGCTTTGTGCTATTTTAATTAACTGTGTAATTTAAAAGATAAAATCTAAATTATGATTTTGCACAAAAGTTTGGGGATGTAATTATTTATGCTTTAGAAAAAGTCTCTTATTTTCTCCAAGATTTTAATTAATCGTATAGCAAAAACTGTAGGATTTTATTAAATATGATTACAATTTAAAATAGCAGTTTATATATATATATATATATATATATATATATATATATATATATATATATATATATATATACAATTGAAACCAGAAGTTTACATACACTCTAAAAAAAGGAACAGAACCATTTTTTTGTAAATATCAGATGGTAAATCATACTAAATGTTTACTATTTTAGGTCCGTTAGGATTACCTAAATGATCTACATTTGCTAAATGCCAGAAAAATAAATGATTTTTTTATTTTTATTTATTATTATTAATTTTTATTATTTCTAGACAGTCAAAAGTTTACATTAATTTCCTTGTTTTTTTTAGCTTTGCTTTTTAAACTGTATAACTTTGGTCAAATGTTTTGGGTATCCTTTCACAAGCTCCTCACAATAGTTTGAAGTACTGACAGAATTGGTGTAACTGAGTCAGATTTGTAGGCTGTCTTGCTCGCACAAGCTTTTTCAACTCTGCCCACCAATTTTCTATAGGATTGAGATCGGGGCTTTGTGATGGCCACTCCAAAACATTCACTCTGTAGTCCTTAAAGCACATTTTAACTAATTTGGCAGTATGCTTAGGGTCATGGTCTATTTGGAAGACCCATTTGTGGCCAAGTTGTAATTTCCTGGCTGATGTCTTGAGATGTTGCTTCAGTATTTCTACATAATGTTCTTTCTTCATGATGCCATCTATGCTGTGAAGTGGACCAGTCCCTCCAGCAGCAAAACAGCCCCACAACATAATGGTCCAAACTTCACAGTTGGGATGGTATTCCTAAGCTTGTAAGCTTTCTCCTTTGTCCTCCAAATGTAACACTGGTCAATATGGCCAAACAGTTCAATCTTGGCACACCTCTGCGGCTGTGCGCTTGACTGTTTTGCTGCATTTCACAGTTCATTCACAAAACATGTCAGTGGCAGTGCGTCACAGAGGACAACAGCCAATCACATTTCTGTTCCAGTGTTGCGTAAACATGATTGGCTATCATCTGCTCTAGGGTATTTGCATGGTGCAATCTTACTGGCTGACACCTGTTTGAGGATCTAAAGTTTATTAAAAATGGATGTAATCATTGACGCTGACATAAAAAAAATTATATTAAAATGAATGTCAATAATGCGAGGGCAGTTTCATTGTGATTCTACATTCGTGTAAAAGGCTGCCATGTAGTTCAAGTCAAAAACCGTGTGATCTGCGACTAGTCGACGTCAATCAAAAAGGGTCCCGGCAGAGCATTAAAGTCAAAATCTAACTCTCATAATGAAACTAACATCTAAAAAATGTTATAGAAATTAATTTAACGAGACTATTAATATAAGGAACTCTGCTAAAACAGATTTGATTTCACTTCATAACAGCTTTAATGTCATTTTATTTTCCCTAGCCAAGAACACTGCTGCTGCTGCTGCTGCTGATGAGGATGAAGATCAATATGAGAACAGTTTTATTAATGACGAGAGCGAGGAGGAGGAGGTGGATGAAGACTCAGACTATGTGCCAGAATCAGACGGCAGCGGCAAAGAGGACATTAAACGGCTGCAGAGAGAAGCCAAGAACTTTCTGAGAAGGAAAAAGTGACTCTGCTTTGGGGGAAGACTGCAGAAAAACACTAACTTTACAAAGATTGAACGGCTGATGCAGAATCTCTGCTCGTTTAATTCAGGTTTATATGATTTTATTTACTTTTAGCTTGACGTTTTAATGGATTGTTCACCTAGAAATTCATTTATCATTGATTTGTTCCCCCTGGTGTTGTTTTAGGGCTGATTCTTATTCTTTCTGTCTTATTTGGACCATGAAATTACATTTTATTTAAAGAAATGTCTCGCTATTACTCAAACTTACAAGAGAAATTAACATTTTTTTATTGTTCGTTTTATTGTTTGTTTGTTTGCTTTACAAGCTTTAAACTTTAATCTAAAACTGATAGAAAACACAAAAGAAGATATTTTGAAGAATGTTGAAAACATGTAACCACTGACTTCCATAATAGAAAAAAAATTAAATACTATGGAAATAGTATTGTATGTAAAGTAATACTAGTATAGTATGGAAATAAATACTATGGAAGTCAATAGTTACAGGTTTTCAACATTCTTCAAAATATCTTCTTTTGTATTTAAAACAAATAGAAAACTCATAAAGGTTTGGAATCACTTAAGGGAAAGTAAACAGTGAGCAAATGTCCATTTTTGGGTGAACTATCCCTTTAAATGATCTCCATCTGCATCCATTATAAATGTTTTAATGTTTGGGTAAATGTTTCCTTTAATTAATCTACCATAATAGATGTTTATTTTTAGATTCTCCTACTATTCAATGTTCTTTCATCTCATCCAAAGTTTTATTAATTTTTTTTTTTTTAATAAAGGCTGTTAATACTTTGATTTTAGGTGGATCTTAAAGGGATAGTTCACCCCAAAATTTAAATTTCATCTACTTGTTTCACTCAAATGGTTCTAAACTTTTACATTTCCTTCTTTTGTTTAAACATAAAAGAAAATATTTTGAAGAATGTTGAAAACATGTAACCATTGACTTCCATAATAGGAAAGGCAAATGCTATGGAAGTCAATGGTTACAGGTTTTTAACATTCTTAAAATATCTTCTTTTGTGTTCAAAACAAATAGGAAACTCAATCAAAAATTTGAATCACTTAAGGGAGAGTAAACGGTGAGCAAATGTCCATTTTTGGGTGAACAATTTCTTTAAATGATCTCCATCTGCATCCTTTATAAATGTTTTAATATTTAAGTAAACGTTCCCCTAATTAATCTACCATAATTGACTACTTTTTAATGTTTTGTCATCTCATCCTAAGGTTTTTTTTTAATAAAGGCTGTTAATATTTGATGTAAGTGGATCTTAAATGTATAGCTCACTCCAAAATTAAAATTTCACGCACATGGTTCTAAACTTTTACATTTCTTTCTTCTGTTAAAACACAAAAGAAGACATTTTGAAGAATGTTGAAAACCTGTAACTACTTCCCTAGTAGGAACAATAAATACCATGGAAGTCAGCTGTTACAGATTTTCAACATTCTTCAAAATATCTTCTTTTGTTTATATTTATGTAACTCATAAACCTTTGAAATCACTTAAGGGAGAGTAAACGGTGAGCAAATGTCCATTTTTGGGTGAACTATCCCTTTGAATGATCTCCATCTGTATCCATTATAAATGTTTTAATACTTGGATAAACTTTCCCTCTAATTAATCTACCATAATTGATGTTTGTTTTTAGTCGCCTACTTTTAAATGTTCTCTCATCTCATCCTAAGCTTTATAATAAAGGCTGCTTATACTTTGATTTTGTTTGTATGAAATTAAAGGGATATTTCACTCCAAAATTAAAATTACCTCTATTTGTTTCACTAAAATGCTTCTACGTTTCTTTCTCCTGTTGAACACAAAGCAAGATATTTTGAAGAATGCTGGAAAAAAAAAAAAATCAGCCATTGACACCCATAGTCGGAACAAAACATTACTTTTCCAACTTCTACATTTCATCTGTTGAACACAAAAGAAGATATTTTGAAGAATGTTGAAACCATCGACTTTAACCATAGACTGTCATAGTATTTGTTGTTCTTACTATGGAAGTCAGTTAGTTACAGGATTTCAACATTCTTCAAAATATCTTCTTGGGTTTATGTAACAAACATTTGTAACCACTTGAGGGAGAGTAAACGGTGAGGTAATGTTCATTTTAGGGGGAACTATCCCTTTAAATGATCTCTTAAAGGGATAGTTCACCCCAAAATTAAAATTTCCTCTATTTATTTCACTCAAATGCTTCTATATGACTTTCTCCTGTTGAACACAATCTTCCTTTTGAATCTTCCTTTGTGTTGTAACCAGATGAATAAACAATGACAGAATTTGTATTTTTGGGTGAACTGTACCTTTAAGTGTAGTTTTATGGTTCTGTTAGTACTATTGTGGGAGTTTAATTGAATCACCCTGGCTGTTTATTGCTGCTGTGTGGTCTTTAATGTCTAGTGTTTAGAATCATAAGGGGAAAATAAACACTACAGAACATCCAGTAACAAGATTTAGTAATCTTTTTAAAATTCCTTTTACTTGTGGGTCATTCATTCTTATTACTTTCATTATTATTTATCAGCCACTGACATTTATAGAGCAACAGCAACATTCCTGCTTTATGGTTTTTTTGGCGTCCTGGGTGATTTTAAACTCTACTTAGGGTAAAATACACAAGATGTTAATATTTTGTTGTTGTTTAATAAACTTTATGGGATTGTCTGTTCATGTTCAGCTTCATATTTTGGCCTCATGAAGTAAACATAAGATACCGCATATTCATTGGAGGTACACTTTAAAGTGTTGTCTATGTAGGGAGCGTGTGTGGGTTTTTGAGCACAGCCATTGCAAGCAAAGATTTTTTTATTTATTATTGTGCATTTCACTTCTTATTCCAGCTGTAACTGCTGTAATTTTGCAAATATTTTATATTAATGCACTCAAGAATGACATTTGCTGCTTGATTAAACTACTTATTTAAAATGAGTTGAAACAACACTATTCTTAAAGGTGGTGTGTGTGTACGTATTTGACTCTTCTAAATCATAAAGATACCATAATATGTTTGCAGATATTTCAGAAACTGCTGACTGAACATTCTTGTTTATCTGAAAAACAATGCTGAAGTCAGATATTTTGAAAATGTGCATTACATGCCAGAACCGCTGTCTTTATTTTGGTCTTTTAACCCGTCCACTGACAGTTTAGCCAATTATATTTCAGCACCCCGAGTTGACTTCATGAAAAACAGCGTATTTCATTCACTTAGTCAGGAAGGCTCTCAAATATTAGCATCTGCGACCGAAATGCAACCTCCGGTGGACAGTAACAGACTTTGAAATGAGACGCAGATTCAGAGTTCCACAATGTAACCTTGTGTCCTAAAAACACGATATGTGATGAGATTTGCGGTGATAAGCAATTTGGCACCAGAAAAACATGACAAAAATGTAAATACAGCCATTCAGAAGCACAGAATAATACACTGACTGCCCTTCCGCGAAATGGTAAGGTTCATAATCTAATAAATAGATATTAAGGGCCAATTTTAATTCTAGCCCTTAGCCCTTCCCCTTACACCTACCCCTCATTTTTTGCGTTCTCATGAAGGGTTTGGGATGTCCCAACTCTCCTTAGCTTGAAGGCTCAGGGGAAGGGCTAGATAGCCCTCAAAACTGAGATTTTTCAGGACCACCCTCGAAACTAAGGGGTAGGAAAATTTCCCAGAATGCACCAGCCACAACAGCAAAATGGCAAATTAGTACAAATTAGTATTTTTTTGTCATTATCACAAATTTTTACAACAAACTAACACGTTTTAATACATTCATAACCGGGTTCGTGTTTTGCCATCATGCTTAAAAAAAATGCTAAATTTCGCAATCTATAATCCCTACTAATAACTCTTGTACAGCAGTCCTACAACATTCTGACACTCGAAAACCCTGTCAGAAAAGTCTAGTGGCTGGGAGTGGGCTTTTTACAGTGTCTTGTCGTGTGTTTACATAGATGAATATGGCCAGGGTGTCAATACACAGTTACGATCTTATTGCCACATTATATGGCTATGATAACATAATATATGCCTTCAGTGATTTCCTGAAGATAAATACCAAAAAATAACTACAGCAGTCGCCATCGTCTGATCTCATATGAAGAGATCGCGATGACATATGATGACGTGTGCAGGTACTGTAGTGCTGTCCCATTTCTCACGGGTAAATTTTAAAGCCCTTCCCCTTCACACTGTTTCAAGGGCCAAGGAGTAGGGGAAAAATTTGAATTGAGATTTGGCCTAAACCTCTTTAACATTATTAAATGTAGATGCTAAATCACTGACACATCCTAATCGATTTGTGTGGACACAACATGAATGAACTGTGTGGAACCCATCATCTTTTTTTTTTTTTTTTACAGTGTGAGCTTACCTTAATTCAGCTTAATAATTAGGACAGAGGAAGTCAACAGTACATGCATTAGAAGTACACTTGAAAATGCAGTCTATGTAGGGAGCTTGTGTGTGTGTGTGTGTGTGTGTGTGTGTGTGTGTGTGTGTGTGTGTGTGTGTGTGTGTGTGTGTGTGTGTGTGTGTGTGTGTGTGTGTGTGTGTGTGTGTGTGTGTGTGTGTGTGTGTGTGTGTGTGTGTGTGTGTGTGTGTGTGTGTGTGTGTGTGTGTGTTTTTAAACTCATTGTAAGCAACAACAAAAAAATTGTTTCTGCATTTCACTTCTTATTTCAGCCTGCAGCCTGAGGGTCTGTAATTTTGGGAACATCTTTTTTTTTCCCAGAGCTTTGTAGAAGTGACTAAACTGAGTTGAAAAAAACAAGTCTTAAACAGGACATCCGTGACTTTAAAACAGGGCTCCAAGAGACCAAAACCGCTTCCACATTGTTTAGAAAGCTGCCATGTGAGGATACAGAAGAGGAACTGTTGATGTAAGCACATTATGGGCACTTTAGTCAAGCTTTATTCATCACACAGGGCATTAAGATGCTGCTATTGGGTCTTTTGTCCTGTTGAATATTTTGGGCTTTTTGTCCGCTTTGTTGTTTTGGAAAAACATCATTCCTGTTTTTGTCAGATAAAGTAGCCAGCTTGAAGTGTTCAAGTGCTTGCGTGGAGCAAAAATGGACACTATAATGGGCAATTTGATTTGGGAATGGCTCCATCTTGATTTGTTGACACCTGTGAAATGACTTACATTATAAAGATATTCCTGATATTGGGCTGTGTCTGAAATCGCCCCCTATACCCTCAGTCACTGTTTTCTACTTAAAGTGAATGAAAATGAGAGCGCATCGAGTGCACTGAAAGGGAAAGGGGCATCATTTTGTTTGTGCTTTGCTGGTTGCTTAAAATAAAACAAATACAATAAAATAAAAATTGACCCTGTGTTATAGTTCATTTAAAGGAACGCTCCACATTTATTTATTTATTTATTTATTTATTTTTTTTGGATATATAGGCTCATTTTACAAATCACCTAGAGTTAAATTGTTGAGTTTTACTTTTTTTTTTTTTAATCCATTCAGTCGATCTCCGGGTCTAGCGAGGGCACTTTTAGCTTAGCTTAGCATAAATCATTGAATCAGATTAGACCATTAGCTTCCCACTCAAATATTACCAAATAATCCTAAGGTTAACCTGCTAATAGGAAAATTATCTAAACTTTATTGGAATAAGATGCTGATGGTCTAATCTGCCATTTATCTTGTTGTTGTTTTTTTATTGTTGTTGTAGTTTTCATAGAATTTTCTCGCATTGTGTTTTTTGGCTTTTGCAGTTTTGCAATTTGCTATATTATTTTTATTTTAGTTGTATTTAGTTGCATTTTTTAAAACTTTTTTATTTTATACTCTTTGTTTGTGGTCTTGAATTTTTTTTTGCAATGTTCTATTTTGTGTAAAGCATAAGAAAGAACGAACAAAGAACAAACAAAAGAACAAATGAAAGAAATAACAAAAGAAATAATAAAAGAACAAACGAAAGAAAGAACAAAACAATTAAGAAAAAAATAAAGAACGAACAAAAGAAAGAACAAAATAACGAAATGAATAAACGAATGAAAGAAAGAGCAAAAGAAAGAAAGACCGAAAAAAAGAAATAACGAAGGAAAGGAATAATGAACAAAAGAAAAAAAATGAAAGAAAGAACAAATGAACAAATGAAAAAATGAATGAATGAAAGAAAAGAACAAAAGAAAGAATAAATGAAAGAAAGTCTGAAAGAAAGAAAGAATAAAAGAATGAACAAACCAATGAAAGTCAGAACGAAATAATGAATGAAAGAAATAACAAAGGAACGAATGAACATGTAAGAACGAAAGAATAAAAGAAAGAGCAAAAGAATTAACGAAAGTAATAAAGAAC